GCTGAATGTACATCTATGACTGGTCAGTGACAAAAAATTGGGGGATTCTCAAAAAGCCAGAATCGGAAGAGATCGGAGAGTTGTTAGGCTTAAAGAGATAGATAGGATTGAAGCTATAGAAGGAGGTTTTAAAGTGCAGGCTTTTAAAATTGAGGTGTTACTGGTCAGAGTCAATGCCGATCAGTGAGCACAGGAATTGATGGGTGAATGGAACTTGGTGTGAGTTAGAATATGGTTGGCATGAGTTTTGGTTGAGCTAAAGTTTATGCAGGGTGGAAGAGAGAAGACTGCCTAGGAGAGGGTTGAAGTAATCAAGTCTACAGATAACAAAGGCTTGAATGAAGATTTTGGAAGCAGATGAACTGAGGTAGGAATGGAGTCAGATGATTTTATATACAAATGTACAAATTAGGAGCAGGAGTAAGCAACTCAGCCCCTCAAGCCTGTTCTGTCATTCAATAAGATCATGCTGATGTAACTACTACACACTCCCCCATCCCTGATAAACTTTCACCTCCTTGTTTAATAAGATTCTATCTCCCTTTGCCTTACAAATATTCAAAGACCGTGCTTCCACTGCCTTTTGAGAGAGAAATTTTCAATGGCTCATCACCCTCCTTGAGAAAAAATTTGCTTAATTGCTGTCTTGAGTGGATAACCCACTATTTTCAAACAGTGACTCATAGGTCGGGGTAGGATTTACTGTGACATCAAGATTCCAAGCGGTCTATTTCAGCCTCAGAAATTGCTACAGAGAAGGCTGTCAATTAGGTACTTTTGAAGTTTGGTTGCTATTTCAATGTTGGGAACTTGGTAGTTAACTTGCACAGAGCAAGGGCCCATAAACAGCAATGAGACATGTAAGGAGACAATCCGTATTTAGGCATTAGTTGAGGAATGAATATTATGCAAGACGAGTGGAGATGCTATGATCTCAGTTTATGGTGAAATGTTTGAGTGTGGTAGGTCAATAACGTGGGAAACAGGAAGTGAAGGATCTAAATAATATCATCATCAATGTGACTGCTTTGCCTGAAGGCTGGTTCTTGGCTCTTAGTCTCCATATCTCTGTTATCGAGTCATAGAATCATACAGCATGGAAACAGACCCTTCAGTCCAACACATCTGCATCGACCAGACATCCCAAACTGATCTAATCCCATTTGCCAGCATTTGACCCTTATCTCTCTAAACCCCTCCTATTCATGTACCCATCCAGATGCCTTTTAAATGTTGCAATTGTACCAGCCTCCCCACTTGGTTTGGCAGCTCGTTCCATACATGCACCATCCTCTGCGTGAAAAAGTTGCCCCTCAGGTCCTTTTTAAATCTTTCAGCTCTCACTTTAAACCTATGCCCTCTAGTCTTAGACTTCCCTACCCTAGGGGAAAGACCCTAGCTATTCATCCTATCTATGCCCCTCATGATACTATAAACCTCTGTAAGGTCACCCCTCAGCCACTGACGTTCCAGGAAGAAAGCAACAGTCTATTCAGCCTCTCCCTATAGCTCCAACCCTCCAATCCTGGCAACATTCTTGTAAATATTTTCAGTACCCTGTCAGGTTTAACAACATCTTTCCTATAGAAGGGTGATCAGAATTGTACACAGTATTCTGAAAGTAACCTCACCAATGTTCAGTACAGCTGCCATATGACATCCCAACCCCTATGCACAATGTAATGACCAATGAAGGCAAACGTGCCAAACGCATTCTTCACCACCCTGTCTACCTGCGACTCCACTTTCAAGGAACTATGCAGCTGTGCCAGTCTGTTCATTTGCCAATAACTTCCTTCAATTTTCAAGCCATCCAGCACTGACATTCTCTGTCTTCCTCTTCTCCTGCTTTTTTCCTTTATAATGTCTGTTACATGTCTGTTTCAGCTGCAAATGGAAGGTGTAACAAAAAACTAAGAACAAAGGAAAAGGCTTGCAAGTGGCAAGAGACATTGGTAAGACAACTGAACAAAAAGACAACTTCAGAAGTAACTTGGAAAGAGCTTGATTTGGAATAGCATTCAGTGTAGACATGTGATTTGACCCTTTTGGAAGGTGGAGGCCAACTTGTTAAGTAATTTCAAAATGTCGGTTTGAGGAGAATGGAGAGGATAAATTAGATAGAAAAAAATGACAGGTTATGAAATGTAGAGAGAAAGAATGAACAAAGAAATTTGCTGAACATAATTAAGAAGAAGGGGAAATCTTGAGATTTGAATGTCCCTTTAGAACCCTCAAAAACAATAGCAGGGTACAATATCTGAATGGAGGGTCCCTCTATCCGTAAAACATTGACCTATCTGATATCTACTCTTCTCAGAGACAGTGTCCTGTTCATAATAATCTCAAACCCTCCCAGTAGCGACCTCCTCCACCCAACGCTCTCATCCCCTTCAATATCCCTAATTAGAGTTAAACAGATGTACAGCATGGAAATAGTTCCTTCTGTCCATCTCATCCACGCCGACCAGATATACTAAATTAATCCAGTCCCATTTGCCAACATTTGGCCCACTAAATCCTTCCTTCATATACCTATCCAGATGTCTTTTAAATGTTGTAATTGTACCAGCCTCCACCATTTCCTCTGGCAGGTCATTCCATACAAGCACCACCCTCTGCGTGAAATGTTGCCTCTTAGGTACCTTTTAAATCTTTCGACCTCACCTTAAACCTATGCTGTATAGTTTTGGACTCCCCTACCCTGGGGAAAAGACCTTGACTATTCACCCTATCCATGGCCCTCATGATTTTATAAATTTCAGCCTCCAAAGCTCCAAGGAAAATAGCCCCAGTCTAATCAGCCTGTCCTTATAGCTGAAACCCTCCAACCGTATCAACATCCTTGTATTCTTTTCTAAACCCTTTCAAGTAAAACAACATCTTTCCTATAGCAGAGAGACCAGAATTGAACGTTGTATTCCAAATGTGATCTAACCAATGTCCTGTACAGCTGCAACATGATGTCTCAACTCCAATACTCAATGCATTGACTAATAAAGGCGAGCATGCCAAATGCCTTCTTCACTACCCTGACTACCTGTGACTCCACATTCAAGGAAGTGGAATTGTTGAATATTGCTGAAAAAAATACACATTTTGTTGAAGCTTTTCACTTTGCACTTATTTGCAAGAATACCAGTGTGAAGGGGAACAATATTTTTATGTTGTACGAGCAGAACCTGACAATTGGTTGGACTTACATTGGTAGTGACATTACCATGGAGAACGTTCCACTTAAATTATGAATGACATTAAACTGCTCATCCTTGCTTAATTTTAAACCAGGAATTTGACTCCAATTAGTCATGTCATTAGTCATGGACACTGTGCCTGTCTGTAAAAATACAGGGCCTGGTGCATTAATATGTGAAGGTATCGGTAAGCACAAATCTGCCACATTATGGGCCTGACTGAAAATCCTAAATTGGTACTGTTTTAATTTTAGCGCACTTGGAAGTACTGCACGTGGACCATCAAATCTTGGAATTACATCCAATATTAAATTCTGTATTTGGGGTTTTGCCAGATGGTCACAGTCAGTAATTTGCCTTTCGTGAACAGCTAAATGAACATGCTGCTTGATATGATCTGCCAATCTTTAGGACATATCTTCCATTGCACTAGCAGCGTAATTCATATACCACATTATCTATTTGTGCAATAACCCGAACATATTGTTGTCTTGGTGACAGCAACTGCACTGTAGAAAAACTGTGATTCTGTCACTGTAAGACAAAAAAAACTTTAAACAAAATGTATTTTCTGTCAGCAATATCCAAATTATGTGTGACAAAACAATCACCCCAAATTTTTGTTCTCTTACATTCAGAGATTCTGAAGAAGAGTCCCAACCCGAAATGTCAGCTTTCCTGCTCCTCTGATGCTGCCTGGCCTGCTGTGTTCCTCCAGCTCCACACTGTTGTATCAGATAATCACTCTGCTCCATTTTTATGTTAAAAAAAATCAAGGTTTCTTACAGGACTTTCCAATCAGGACTCCTTCAGAAATGTGTGGCTGTACTTAATATCAGAGGTGCAGGGTAGTGAGGGGAAAGCAAACTGTGGCCCCTTTTTCCACTGCTGTCAGTTGCCATACTCTGTGATTTAAATGTCTAGCGTTACAGACAGCCACTTTGACAGCTTCTGAAAAAAAGACAAGTATGTTAGAATGTGCCACGTAGCTAGGGTGATATGGTGTCAGACAAGTGGACTGTCAGGTAAGTAAGGGGCCAGGTGAGTATGATGCCAGGGCACAACGAGGGAAGGGGCTCAGATAAGTGATGGACTGTTTGGGTTAGGTCAGGGTGGGTGGGAGATAACTGGTCCAGTGCAGGAGGGAGAATGTCAGGTCCCCGTGGAAGGGGTGGGGGTGTGTTAGGTCCTTGGCACACATGGGTGTAAGCAGTGACAGCGGGTGGGAAGGGAGGTTTGGTTAGGATCTGAGAGAAGGAAGGGGTCTGTGGGAAATGTGTGGTAGGCAGTTCAGTTATTAGTTACCCAGCAGTTAGAACTTGTCCGGGGCCGGGGGTGGGGGCACTGTTATCTCAACTGCAGCAGGATTGACAGAATTCACAGATTTAAATGGAAATTGCTGGGAAAACTCAGCAGGTCTAGCAGCATCTGTGGAGAGAAAGCAAAGTTAACGTTTCGGGTCCAGTGACCCTTCTTCGTTTAAATGGATCCACTGAGAGGGCTCCAGGCATAGGGGAATTGCTGAGCGGAATGTTTCACTTCCTGGGACAATTCCCTGAGCATCTACCATCAGGGCTTCAGTGGGCACTGAAAGTACAGGTTGTTTATTGCTAGCAGCTCCAATGTTAACTGTGAGGTGGGGTGAGGAGCTGCTCGAAGCGGCCCCGCCCCTTGCCTTTTAAGCCCCGCCCTTGTCTTCAATCTGTTCCTGGATTGGATCAAAGTTTCCCTTGGCTGGCTGCAGAGGCGCTGATTGGTCAGAGCTGCGGGGAGGTATCAAAATTAAAACTTTGGAGAAAGTTTGGGATGAGAGGCGGCACCTGGAGGCGGAGATGGGGCGGAAAACAGGCGGAGCGGCAGCTAGAGGAGGCGGAGCTGCCAGGTCCGGGGTACCGGTTCCTTCCTCGCATGGTACAGGGATTCCTGTCCCATACTGAGCTGCTCAACTCCGGCACCGCCGTCATGGGACAGGCGCTGCTGCTCATTTGCTGCCTTGTCATTACAGCCTGTCCCTGGGATGTGTCGGTGGCGGGGGCCGCTTACCGGCACCATCACCAGCAGCGGGAGGACCGGGGCGAGGACGCTGGGGTCCGGCCGCTGCCCCCGACCCGGGAGCCCGCGGACTGGAGACGCCGAGAGCAGGAACCCGGAGCCCGGGAGGACGGTGGTTCCGCTCACTGCCGACTCGGGCGGAGAGGTAACGGTTTCAGCGGTCCTGAGGTTAACTGGGAGAGGATGGGATCAGGGTCCGGGCGGGGGCTGCGGTCATTCGGAATTCTGCTGAAGAATAAAAGCCCTTTCAATCAGGCACCGAACCATCCGAAACAGCCCAAATTTTTTACCCACCCAACCCAGGGAATTTGCGACATTTCTCTCTCTTTCATCCCCCACCCAACTTCCTCCCAGAAATACCCCGGTCCCCAAGCACCCTCCCCCCCCCACCCCCAATCTAAACCCTTTTCTCCTGATAACCCCACTCTTTCCCCATCCCGTCTCACTTACTTTACCGCCCTCCCATTCCTTCTTGCCAGATCTTCCAATCTGAGACTACCTCTTCCATCCACCGTTCCACCACATTTTCCCAGTGGTGTTGGACAGCCTGGGTGAGGATGGAAATGTGAGAGAAGCTGATTTCAGGACAGAACAGACCGGGTCCAAGAAGGGACGCAGACCAATGGAGGGAGGACACCAATCTGTAAGGGGTCGCTGATCCAGGGAATGGTGAGGGTGGGGTGTCTGAGGCGCGGGGACGATAACACAGAGAAATGGCCAAATAATGGACCCTCTAAGTTAGCACGGTAACGCCAAGGGAGGTCTACAGAAGGCTTGTGATTGTGGGTCACTTGTCTGGTATAATTTTGTATGGAGTGTAAAGCCAGCCAGGTGTTTCCTGGTAGTTTCACAGTGATCGCTACCCACCCACCAGCGACAGGAAATGCCCAGGAAATATAACTGACCTCAGCATGTGCTCGCTAGCAGGAGGATCTTGTAGTCTTGCACTTAGGTGGCATTATCCAACCTATTGGCAAAAGCAATGCCCCATCTATTTTGTGAAAGAGTGAACTTCTGGCACAGGCAGGAGCGATGCCCATTGTACACACCCACCTAACTTTCCATCAACTACCCTGTCATGGGATATAAGAACTCAAAGGACTTACAATTCAGAGGGCCTGTGACAGCCCTTTGAAGAGCTGTTTCAGGTATAAAAACAAATGCATTTGCTGTTAAGTTAGGAAAACTAAGCAGAAATGTTATGCACATCAAGACTATGTGCGATTGGTAATCTTACTGTTGGTGCTTCATGAAAGAGGACTGTGAAGAGAATACTGATTTACTAAATTCTACAAGCCTGTTATGACAGATAATTAAATGGTGCTGATATCTTATAGAGAGTACAGCAGACAAAAGATTTATTTCACATCTGACAACGTATGATGATATGGATGATAGTATACGGTAGGGGTGGAGGTTAGATAGATCTTAGGATTCGGATAAAAGTTTGGCACAACATCGTGGGCCAAAGGGCCGGAACTGTGCTGTACTGTTCTATGTTCTATGTTCTATGTATGGCCACTGGCTCTGTTATAGAGTGTACCATCAATAGGGACCCACCTTGATTTGATTTGATTTATTATAGTCACATGTATCTAAGTACAGTGAAAAGCTTTGTTTTGTGAGCAGTACAGGCACATCATAGCAAACAAGGACAGAAAAGATTGCCTGTTGACATAGTTTCCCAATACTTCATCTAACATCTAGTTTTACAACTGAAATGTTATCGTATCATTCTTCCATGTAATTGAAGGAAAAGATTTTGGCTCAGGAATAAACAGATACATTATGATTAGCTCCTGCGTGAAAGATGTCAATAACTTATTATCACAGTTAATTGTGTTTAACAGGCTAGGACATCTGGCAATAATTTTAAAATAACTGTGTGGAGGAAAAAAGCTCCCATGTGTTGTACTGAACTAGTAATGTTAGACCTCTTTGTGTTTGTGCCATTGCCTTGTTGACTAAACAGTTTGGCCAGCACAGTAAATGTGTGGTCATTCAAAGTTTTTTTTGTAGAGGATATTTCCCACAAATGGAGAGTCAGACAAAGCTGGAATCGTTCTCCTTGGAGCAGAGAAGGTGAAGGGAAGGTTTAATTATGACTTTTAAAATAGTGAAAAGTTTTGATTAGATAAATCAAGGTAAAATTTCCAATAGCAGATCAGATTTAGTCAAAAGTATCAGAGATAATATTGACTTTTTATGATTTGAAATCTTCAGTCTGGAAGATTATTCACTTGTAACTTAAAAGGAAAAATTTCTAAATGGTTGAAGAGGTCAGACTCCCTGGTCTATGGGGCAAGAGTGGGTTAATTCTTTCAAATGGCATTGAGGTGATGGGCTGAACAGCCTCCTGTTTGTTCTGTACAATTCCTGATCCATACTGGACAGGAATATTTCACTGGATTGAAATCAACAGCATAGATTTGGGATTTAACTGACAAAAGTGCAGGAATCCCATTGACTCTATATTTAGATTCTTAACTCTATATCCTGAAAGTAAGTGACGTTTCTGATGCTGACGTAGTCCAGGATTTCCTGCTCACTTTTACAGGCTCTGACTGCCAAGAAAAGTTTTGTCAACTTTATGACCTTTAATGTACACTGATTTTCATTGCTCCACCTTTGGCAGTCAGTTGTATGGGCCCCAAGATCTGGAATTCCCTTCCAAAACCTCACCACTTCTCTCTTTCATGTAGAGATAGTAAGAACTGCAGATGCTGGAATCAGAGATAACAATCCCTACTTGCACTCACCTATCACCATCCCATCTACCTTCCCCAGCCCCACCCCTCTTCCCTCCACTTATTTCTGAGCCCCCACCCCCCCACAATTTCTGAAGAAGCGTTCCAACTTGAAATGTCAACTTTCCCACTCCTTTGATGCTGCCTGGACTGCTGTGTTCCTCCAGCTCCACACTGTTATCTGTCTCTCTTTCCCATTCTTTGTTTTAAGACACTCTGTTTAAATCTGCTTTGTTTACCAAGCTTTTGTCATTGGTCCTAATCTCACCATGTGTGGCTCTGTGTTAATTTTGCTGTATTCGTTCATGTTCGTGGGCTGTGCTAATTGCATCGAGATGGTGGTACTGAGCTGCTGCCTTGTACCATTTATGTTCATGTGCTGTAGGGACGCTCACATTGCTGTTGGAAGGAAATTCCAGAACTTTGTACGCAGAAACAGTGAATGGATAGTGATTGAGTTTCAAATCAAGATTGTGTATGAATTGGAGGGGAACCTAGTGGTGGTCCTATTGTTTCTCGGACCCTCTGCCCGTATCCTTATAGGTCATAGAGGTTGAGAGTTTAGAAGGTGCTTTCAAAGCAGCCATCGAGAGTTACTGCAATGCATCTTGTCGATAATACATACTGCTGCTACTGTGTGTTGATAGTGGAGGGAGTGTGTGTTAAAGATGTTGGCTAGAGTGGCAATAAAATGGGCTGCTTTGCCTCAGATGGCTTCAAGTTTCTTGGGTGGTGTTGGATTTGCACTTATCCAGGCAAGTGGAGAATTTTCCATCACACTCATGACTGTGTCTTATGGATGGTGAACAGGCTTTTGGGAGTCAGGGTGCGAGTTACTCATGGCAGGATTTCTAGCCCCGATCTGCTGTTGCAGCAATAATTGCCCAGTCAAGGTTTTGGCCATAGTAGCCTCTAGAATTTTGTTAATGGGGAGTTAGGTGATAGTAATATTACTGAATGTCAAGAGAAAGTGCTTAGATTCTCTCTTAGGAGGTTACCATGGTCTGGTACAATGGTTATGGATGAATGGGACAGTGAGAGTTAACCAATAGGACAGCACAGGTTTGGATGAGCTCAGTTTTAGAAGGTAAGAGGTTGGTGGGAGAGTGTTTTGGGGATTCTTGGCAATTGTGTCTGTGGTAGGAGTTGAAGTGTTACGTTGAGGCTAGGACCTTGGCAGTTGGTGGGGCTGGTGTGCGGATGTGGCCAGGTTTGCTCAGTCTGAATTGTGAGGATAAGATGGCTTTGTTGACACAATTAGTGGATGCCTGAGGTTCGGGGTAGGGTCTAGTAGGTCTTCATGCTGCAGTTTCAGCCAATGTAGTTGACCAATCTGATTATTGCACTGTCTCTGCTCTAACTATTGCTTCTGACATCTGTCTGCCCTCCCTGTTCGAGTCACCATTCTACAATGCCAACAAGTTGGTTACCTGGACCAAGAAGTGTTGCTAGCTCTAGTTGCAAATGTTCCTGGAGGTCTGGCCCTGGTTAACATCCCAGTGTACTGCTGTAGGAGTACTGCACTTTTGGTGGTCTGTCTTTCAGATGCAAAGTTAAACTGCGATCCTGTTTGCCCTCAAAAATTAACATTAAAGTTTTCGTCACACTGTTTTGAAAAAGACCAGTGGAGCGCTCAGTTGGCCACTATTTATTTCTTGGGCAGCATCTAATCAAGTCTGTGCTGTACATCTGTATGACTCTGACTCTATTATCACTGTCTGAGGTTTCTGTCCCCCCCTCCATATGGTGAGATTTTTATGGATTTTGTTTTGTGTGTGCAAACTGGCTGTTGCATTTCCTACATTCTAATGTTGACTACATTTCCTAAAGTAACTTAATTATATGTCAAATTCTTTGGAAAGTCCTGAGGTTTTGGTATATAGTGCTATAGAAATGTAAGCTGTTCTTTAAAAAGTTATGGAAAAATTCGAAAGAGGGCATTCAAAATCATGAATGGTTTTGTTGGAGTAAATAAGGAGGAAACATTTTCAGTCAAAGGGTTGCAAAGTTAAGAGGTTTAGCAAAAGTGAAAAAATTGCTGGATATGAAGAAACTCGTTTTTACACAGTGAGTTGTTTGATCTGGAATGTGCTGCCTGATAGAGCGGCACAAGCAGGAACAATAAGAACTCAAAAGGAAATTGGATAAAAATTATGGAGAAATCAGCAAGACCATCGTGTCTGGCACTAATTGCTAACTCTTTCAAAAAGCTGATGCACGTGTAGTGGTTTGTTCTTGTTACATTCGTCAATAAGGGAGAGTAATGAGATGTATACACACATACAGAGTGTAATGGGAATTGAGCAGAAGTAGAATATGGAGGAAGGGCAGGGTGATAATCATATTAGAGGTCATACTTGACCTCTGTTGTACAGTGGCAGACCTGCACAGTGGGGACTCAAGTGGAAAGTTTGAAAAGTGCACTCGCCCACTATTAGACTTTGGGGATGTGTACATATAACATCTATTACATTAAGTCTATGCAAATTGGCAGAGATTTCTAAATTCACATCCTTCCTTCCAAATTCCTCATCACTAAGATCCCCTTCAGATCCCTGTGCGCATCCAATTCAACCTCTTGAGCATCCCTGATTTCTATCACTTCCCCATTGCAGCCAATGTCTTCTGCTCTGGAATTCTCCCCTCGAGCCTCTTTTGTCATTCCCCTCCTTAAAACTAACCACATTGTCCTCTCCCATCTACACACACCCCACAACACCTCCAAATCTCCTGATGTGGTTCATGTCAGCTTTAGTTTGACCATCATTCCTGGAGGACCTTGGGAATTGCTTTAGAAACATGAAGTACCCTTGTTAACTCAAATCACATCTTTGTTTTAACATATTTCTATAATCTCCTAGCTCCAGGTGATGGAGTCAGACCGTCACTCGCTGGCCCTGAGATTATCTTGGTGCCTGAGGGAGTTGCAGCAAACACAGCCATTGCTCTGGTCGAGGCTGGGAGCCGGCGCAAGTGCCAGCTTGACGTCCAGGGTGATTTTAAGCTTGTGGAAACTTACCAGGGGAACTACCTGATTGTGACCCAGGCCAGCCTGGACCGGGAGAAGAGGGCTGAGTATCACCTGAGGCTGGTCACCCTGAAGGACGGGAGTGTAGTCTTCACCTCGCCTATCCACATCACCGTAAAGGTCATCGACATGAACGATAACGCCCCAGTGTTTGGAGAGAGTGCCTACCAAGTGTCCATTCTCGAGAATGAAGCTCCCAACACAACAATCCTGACTGTGAGGGCCTCTGACAGGGACCTGGGTGCCAATGGCCAAATCACTTACTCCATTCTGGACTCTTCCTCCTCGGGGGTTCCCGTCTCCTCTTTGATTGGCATTCACCCCAAACTGGGCACCGTTTACACCCGGGTGTCGTTTGATTATGAGCAAGTGAGCGCCGTGGACTTTGTGGTGGAGGCCAGAGACAATGGTGACCCGCCCACCAGGTCCATGGTGCCGGTCAGGCTGGACATCGGGGACCTAAACGACAACCGGCCGGTCTTCACCTCCCCGGAGTCACCAGGGATCACCGTCCCGGTCGGACCGGCAATGGCAGCGGCTGGGGAGTGCGAGCCAGGGACCGTTGGAACCCCGAGTAGACCGCCATCGCAGCGCAGCGTCTACGCGGTGACCACGGTAAAGGCAGAGGATGCCGACTCGTCTGCAAACGGTGAGGTGCTCTACGAACTGCTGGAAGGAGTGGGAGTCTTCGACATTGACAGCAGCACTGGGGAGATCCGCGCTACCGTCTGCAGTCCCGACAAGCTGCTGTCTGGAGACTGGGCCATCACGGTGCGGGCTTGGGATTGCGGGAACCCGCCCCTCTCCTCCGAGGCTGCCTTCACCCTGTCTTTTGTCCCCGCCAGTGACCCAACGCTCGCAGGCCAGCAGCTGGGCTCTCCGACTGTCACGGTGCTGTCTCTTGGGGCGCTGGGGCTCACCGTGTTGCTGCTGTCTGTCCTGCTTGCTGTCCGGGCCCGGTGCGCGGCCGAGAAGCGGGACTCCCGAGCCTACAACTGCCGCCAAGCCGAGACCGCCTACCGGCTGCAACCGAAGAGGCCCCCCCGGCAGATCCAGAAGGCAGACATCACCCTCCTCCACCCGGGTGGGCGGAACAGACAAAGGGCTGCCGCCGGGCCACCTTCTTCCCCACCTCCCCCACCGCCCCAGCAAATCCCGGAGGAGAGACCGGAGCCGGAGAAAGCTTATCCCACCCTGCGGAGGGAGCGGGACTCCCAGCACCGTCAGCTGCTAAGGGAGCTGGTTCGGTTGTCCATGGCTGGCTTCTCGGATTGCACCCTGGAGCTCACATCTGTCTCACCACATGTTCAGGTAAGAGAAGCTGGTCCCAAAATCGGACACCAACCGAGTGGGAATTACTGTCTAATTCAGAGACGTTGTTACTGGATTTGAGCATCCCCCGGCCCAGAGGTAGAGAACTTCCACAGCACCTTAAGAGCCGCTAAATGCTTACCAGTATTTTTATTGTCTGAGCAGTGAGCCCACAGTCTAGATATTTTCCATTCAGAGATGTTATGATATACCCTTTGGGTCAGATGGGACTTGACCTCCTGGCTCAGAGGGAGGGACACCACAAGTGACAGATTGAGCTGGAAACTGCTGCCAGTGTGGGATCTGCATCTCTGATTGAGGAGAAGGCGACACAGAGGGCCCAGCTAAACCACTACTCACCAGTCCCACCATGCCAGCTGGTGCAAATTCAGTTCAATTCATTAAAGCTGGCCTCAATGGTGACAGTGACAATGATCATCAATTTGTTGTAAAAATCCCTCTGCTTCACTTATGTCCTTAAGGGAAGGAAATCTACCACCCTTACCTGGTCTGGCCTACATGTGACTCCCGATCCACAGCAATGTGGTTGACTCTTGGGTGCCCTCTGAACTGGCTGAGTGAGCCAGACAGTTCAAGAACAATTAAGAAGGGGCAACAAATGCTGGTTTTGCCGCACATCCCACAAAAGAAAATGTGCGGCATTTGTGAATGATATGTTTTGGAGTTTCAGATGCCTTTTTATGATTGGAAAGGGTTTTGAAATTCTGGAGCAATGATGCTGGTGCATGAAATCTCTGGGCTGGCTGGTTGTAGGCTTCGCTGAGGCTTTATTATCATTTTAATAATCACAACAGGAGGAAATGAGGGTATCCAGAATTCATCCTGACTTGAGTCAGTGGATTTCTAATATTGCATGGTCTCTGTGTCACAGCGTGATTTTTATTATTTAAAAGTTTTTAAATGGTATTTCAGTGTTGCCAGTGAGATTTGTGTTTACCCCCCAGCTGCTTTCTCATAATCCTGTATAGAATTTACACATTATCCTTGTCTTGTGGATGAAGCTAGATAGATTGTTACCTTGCATTCTCTTTCCCTCTACCTCATTTGAAATGAATATCAGATCATTGAAAATCTGGATCCATGGAGGGTCAAAGAAATGTGGAGATCAAGGGACACATCTCCTCTCGTTCTTTGTATTCACAAAATTATATGGCTGGTCATTTCAGTTCCTGGTCCATGGCAACTCTGCCTTTCTCTCCTCGTCTGTCTCTTTTTCTCTCCCCACCCACGCTCCATTTCCCCCCTCACTCCACCAAAGATATTGAGAGTGAAGAAATCAGAGTTGGTAATAGCAGTGAAAGTCATTGGGGAGTCACTTGTCATGTGAATATTTACAACATTCACTCTTACTGTACTAAAAGTTAGTACATGATTACAAACAGTAATCAAAAGCACTGGTAGAATGTTGCGTCTAACTCCTGGACTGGAATGCAAAGAAGTGATAATTCCCCATCCGAAATGCAACATGCATTTCTGGACAGTGCCCTTTGTGAGGTTTGTTGATGTTGCACAGAATGCAGTTCAGAAGTACCAAAATTATACTGGGACTAAAAGGGTTAATTTACAGACCAGGACATGAAGATTAGGCTTGTAGTCCCTTAAGTACAGTAGATGAAGTGTTTAAAATGCTAAAAGGTTCAACAAAGATAAACACAATGTGGCACAAACTGTTTTTGAAATAAAGTGTCAGGAAACACATCTTCATGAAAAGATAGTGGAAAACTGGAACTTTCTTTTCCTCAAAAGAACCTCTTAATATTTGGATTCATCTGGCTTTTGACAATTGAGATGATTGGATTTTTGTTGGGCCAAGGTATTAAGGGATATGGAGCTAAGGTTAGAACATTTTAAATTAGAATTAGAACTTTTTAAAATCACTGTTGGGACGTGACATTGGCTGGGCCAGTATTTATTGCCCATTCCTGGTTGCCCTTGAGAAAGAGGTGATGAGCTGCATTCTTGAACCACAGCAGTCAATGTGCTGTCAGTTGACCCACTATGTTCTTAGGGATTTGACCCAGTGACAGTGAAGGAATGGCAATATATTTCCAAGTCTGGATGGCGAGTGGCTTGGAGGGGTACCTGCAGGTGGTGGTGTTCCCATGTGTCTGCTGCCCTTGTCCTTCTAGATGGAATTGGCTGTAGGTTTGGAAGATGCTACCTAAGGATCTTTGGTGAATTTCTGCAGTGCAACTTGTAGATAGTACACACTGCTGTTACTGAGTATCAGTGGTGGAGGGAGTGAATGCTTGTGGAAGTAGTGACAATCAAGTGGGCTGCTTTGTCCTGGATAGTGTCAAACTTCTTCAGTATGAGACCTGCACTCTTCCAGACAAGTGGGGAGTATTCCATCACACTCCTGACTTGTGCCTTGTCAATTGGTGGACAGGCTTTGGGGGATCAGGAGGTGAGTTACTCGCCTCAATATTCCTAGCTTCCCTCCTGCTGTTGAAGCCACTATATTGATATAGTGAGTCCAGTTCAATTTTGGGTCGATGGTAACCCCAAGGATGTTGATAGTTGGGGATTCAGTGATGGGAGCACTGTCAAGTGGTGATCGTTAGATTGTCTCTTCTTGGAGATAGTTGTTGTATGGCGTGAAACTTACTTGAAACATTGAGTAGCTCCACCATTCAATACGATCATGACTGATCAAACACTTCAATGCTTTTACACACTCTATCCCCATAACTCTTTACGTGGTTGGTAATCAAAAAAATCTATTGATCCCCATCTTAACTCAGTCTTTGAGTGAGTACATTTAAGGATCAGCCATTATCTAATTGATTGGGAGAACAAGATAAAGACAGCTCACTCATCTCCATTTTTCCCTTGTACCAGCGATGTTATAGTTCATTCAGAGTACTACTTGCTGTAACAACTATTCAAGTTGCGGTCTGGAGCTATGGATTGTGATGGTTAAATGCTCCAATATCTTTCCATCTGATAATGGGCCAGGAGAGTCTTCTGCTCTCGCTGTCTGCCATCGGAGTGTATTGTAACGACTTACAAGTTGATACTCAACCTGTTTGGCCTTTCTTTGTCTATGATGTCCTGAGGTGGGACTTGAACTGAAAATGTCTGACTCATGGGCAGGGATAGTACCCACTGCACTACAAGAACACACCCCCGTTCCTGTGCGGCAAATGGAAAATGTTATAATGTCTGGTTAACTGTTTCTGGATAACATCAACGTTTGGAAAATCCCACCTTGATTCCAAACGCTTTTTACTTCATGTGCTTTATTAACTCACTTCACTAACAAAACACTGGCAGGATCGATGGTCAGGGAATTGACCCTGCAGGAGTCCCCGTACAAAGCAGGATACGCTCTCCACGTTGTTCTCCTAGCAGTGAATCTCCACTCCAGATGTGTACAAATAAAGTTCTGCCAAGGCCAGGGGAGGTTAATTAAATTTCCTGCAGCTCACGGCCTCATGTCCCAGTGTCAACATTGCGCTGGCTGCGGGTATAGATAATCTAATTGAGGTGTTTAAGGTAATTAAAGGAGTTGATGGGTGGATACAGAGAAAGTGTTTCCTCTGGGGGGATATCCAGAATGAGGGGACATACCCTTAAAATTAAAGCTAGGCCATCAGAGGTCATGTCAGGACGCACTTCTTCATACAAAGGGGAGTGGAAATCAGGAACACACTCTTTCTCACATCGTTCCCCTCCCCCGCCCCTTTTAAAAATAAAAAAGCAAAAAGCTGTTAAAGCTGGGGGCCAAGTCTCCCCTTCGATACTCAAGGGACCGCAAATCCAGTTAACATGACCTGGCCTGTATTTAATCTTTTTAGCTTTGGCATCATTATGATGAACCACGCCCTTCTTGAGGTACAGTGCCCGGGAATGCAATATTCCAGATGGGGCTAACCAGAGTTCTAAACGGCTTTAACACAACTTACACCCATTGTTGTATTTGTATTCCAGTCCCTTTTTAAGGTTAAAACCCAATGTTCCAGTTGCTTTTTCAATTATTTCCCTTGCCCAATTGTCCTTAACATTTTCCGTACGTGGGCCTCTTCCTACAAAGGTCACTAGAATTTATTGATCAGGTTTAACGTGACTCATGTGAGGTGGATAATGCCACCTTTTTAAAGAAGCAAGTTGAGGTTAACCATGATGAAAATATTTCCATGCTGGAGATCTCACTACAGCCACCTCATCTGGATTGACCGACACCCTGATCAGAAACCATAAGAGATAGGAGCAGAATTAGGCCATTTGGACCATTGAGTTTGCTCCATCATTTGATCATGGCTGATATGTTTCTCAACCCCATTCTCCTGCCTTCTCATAACCCTTACTAATCAAGAACCTATCTATCTCTGTCTTAAATACACTAAATGTCTTGGTCTCCACAGCCTTCCGCAGCAATGAGTTCCACAGATTCACCACCATCTGAAGAAGTTCCTCCTTATCTCAGTTCTAAAGGGCTGTTCCTTCACTCTGAGGCTGGGCCGTCAGGTCCTAGTCTGTCCTACTAGTGGAAACATCTTTTCCACATTCTCTGTAACCAGGCCCCTCAGTATTCTGTGTATTTTAATGAGATCACCCCTCATCCTTCTAAACTCCATTGAGTGCAGACTCAGAGTCCTCAGTCGCTCCTCGTGTGACAAGCCCTTCATTCCTGGGATCATTCTTGTAAACCTCTTCCAGACCCTCTCCAATGCCAGTACGTCCTTCCTTAGATACAGTGTCTGAACCTACTCTCACTATTCCAAATATGGTTAGAACAATACCTTATACAGCGTCAGCAGTACCCCCTGCACTTGCATTCATTTCAAGAGGGCTAGAATACTAATATTGCATTTGCCTTTCAATTGTCAACTGAATGCACGGTAACCTTTAACAGAATCCTTAACTAAGACTTCTAAGTCCCTTTGTGAGTCAGCTTTCTGAAGCCTTTCACCATGCAGAAAATAATCCATGCCTCTCTTATTCCTACCAAAGTGCACAATCTCACACTTTACTACATCTGCCCACTCTCCTGGCCTGTCCAAGTCCTTATGTAGCTTCCTTGTCACCTCCACACTATCTGTGCCTCCACCTGCCCTTGTGCCACTTGCAAACCTAGCAGAAATACCCCCAGTTCCTTTGTCGAGATTGTTAATGTATAATATGAATAGGTGATGTCCTAACACTGACCCCTGCGGAACTCCACTAGTCACCGGCTGCCATCCTGGAAAAGGACCCCTTTAACCCCACTCTCTGCCTTCTGCCCCTCAGCCACTCTTCCATTCATGCCAGTACTTTATCCCCAGCATCATGGACGCTATCTTATTTAATAGCCTCCTATGTGGTACCTTATCAAAGGCCCTCTGGAAATCGAAATAGATCATGTCCACTGACTCTCCTTTGTTTAACTTGCTCAATACCTCCTCAAAGAATTTTAACAGATTTGTCAGACATGACCTCCCTTGACATACTGACTCAGCCTATTACCACGCACTTCCAAGTATTCCACAATCTCATCCTTAATGGACTGTCGCATCTTAGGCGGGAGGCGATGGCCTAGTGGTATTATTGCTGGACTGTTAATCCAGAAACCCAGATAACATTCTGGGGACCTGGGTTCAAGTCCTGCCATGGCAGATGGAAGAATGTGAATTCAATAAATATCCGGAATTAAGAATCTAATGATGACTGTGAATCCATTGCTGGTTGTCAGGGGAAAAAAAAACCCCATCTGGTTCACTAATGACTTTGAGGGAAGGAAACTGCCATTCTTACCTGGTCTGGCCTGCATGTGATTCCAGACTCTCAGCAATATGGTTGACTCTTAACTGCCCTCTGGGCAATAAATGCTGCCTAGCCAGCAACGCCCTCATCCCGTTAATGAATAAAGAAAAAAAGAAAAATCTTGCCAATAATCAATGTAAGTTCTAACTGGCCCATCTTTTGCCGCCTTCCCTTCTTAAATGGATGTTACATTAACTATTTTTCTGTCTTCTGGAACCCTCCCTGACACCAGTGATTCTTGAAAGATCACCACCAATGATAATCCATAATCTCCTCAGCTATCTCCTTCAGATCCCTGCGCTGCAGTCCATCTGGTCCAGGCAATTTATCCAACTTCTGACCTTTCAGCTTCTCCATCACCACCTCCTTAGTGATTGCCACTACACTCATCTCTGCCCTCGACTTACGTGAAGTTCTGGTATGTTGCCGGTGTCTTCTACCATGAAGACTGAGGCAAAGTACATATTCAGTTCCTCCATCATTTCTTTGTTCCCTATTACTACTTCTCTATCCTTATTTTCCAGCTGTCCAATGTCAACTCTCTCTTACCTTTCTTTTTAAAAAAACCTCTTGCGCTCTTATCTAGCTGACTGTTGTTGAGCTGGCCCTTGTATTTCATTGTCTCATTTCCCCAAACCCCCACTGCTTTCTTTTTAAGTTATCCTCTGATGGTTTCTAAGGTCTTGTCAATCTTCTGTTTTCTCACTAATCTTCACCACATTGTATGCTTTTCCTTTTGCCTTTATGCTGTCCCTGGATTCTCTTGTCAGCCATGGATACCTCCTCCTCCCCTTAGTATGCTTCTTCTTTCTTGGAATGAATTTCTGCTATGCCTCCTGAATTACCCCCAGAAACTCTTGCTGCTCTACTGTCTTCCTTACTAGGCGCCCCTTCCAATCAACTCCCCCCAGTACCTCCCTCATATCTGCTTGTAGGGTGGGTATTTGAAGGTTATCCTGTGTTTTGGTATTTCCAATGTGGTAACGGAGAGTATTTGAAAGAGCTTCTGCGTTTTGCCAAATGCTATTCCTGAATAGTGAGGGAGAATATGATGTGTTTTCTGATTATCGCCTTTCCTGTACAACTCTTGACACCATTAATCTTCCTCAACTCCTCTGTTTCCTTTGAATTAAAAAAAGATATAATGCTTTGAGTCATAATGTGAAAGGTCCTGTATGAATTTAAGTGCTTTCGTCATGAGAGATTGCCACTGTGAGGTCAAGGTTTGGTCAGAATGGATGAGCAAGCTCTTTGTGTGTCTCTGTGTCTGTGTGTGTGTGTGTGTGTGTGTGTGTGCATTCAGTGTTCCTGATTTTTAACATCCGTTCCCTGTATGCAGGCTACACTGCTGCCAATAATTTGATTTCCTTTTCCTCCCTTCATTCTCTTCCACCCAGCCTCTGGCTGTTCTTCATGTTAAAAGGAAAACTTAATTAGGAGGAGGGTAGAGTTCAGAACTGAGCTGCTTGTAGCCCTTTACCACCAGCTCTGGGCAAAAAAAAATGGATGAAACTAACTTGGCCCTGATTGATCTGTGTGTTTCTATTTTTTTTAAGAATTCATTCTCACTGTATGTGTTAATTCATTCATGGGCTCTGGGTGTCACTGGCTGGGCCAATATTTATTGCTCAGCCTCCAATTGCTGTTGAAATGAGTGGCTTGCTGAGCCAGTTGAGGAGGGGCAGTTAGAGTCAATCACATTGAGGCTGGAGTCACATGATCCATAAGGATGAGACAGTATGTTGGCAATTTTACTTTAGTTAAGGAGACAGTGAAGCAGATGGTTATTTCTGAGAATCAACAACAGTTACCTTTTTAAATTCGTTATGGGACGTGGATGTTATGTTTTTGCCCTTGATTGTGGTGAGCTGCCTTCCTGAACTGCTGAAATCCGTATGCTGTGTGTAGACGCAATATGCTGTTTGGCAGGCACTTCTTAGGATGTTGAGCCGGTGATGCTGAAGAAATGGTGCTATATTTCCAAGTCAGGATGGTGAGTGGCTCGGAGGGGAACTTTCAGGTGGTGCTGTTACCATGTATCTGCTGCCTTTGTACTTGCTGGTGGTAGTGGTTATGGGTTTGGACAACTGTGTGTTTTTTTTTTATTGTTGCCATTAGACTAGCTTTTTAATTCCAAACTTTTATTGAATTCAGGTTTCATCATCTGCCATTGATTCAAACCCATGTCCCTAGAATGAGAGCTTGGGACTCTGGATTAACCCCATTGGTGTTAACACTATGCCATTGGCTTCCCTTCCCTATTGGTAGTTACCCGCAGAAGGTGTTGGTGGGCCATACTCTTAAAACATTGGTAACAGGTTTGATTTCAGTTGTCTTGCCAGATGTTAGGCAAGAGTGACACACATTGTGTATAGCTGCAGTCCTTCGTCAGATTCAGGCCAGGCTAGGTTCCTTCCCTAAAAGGACATTAAAGATCCACCTGGGATTTAGAGACCATCCAATACTTCCTGATCACTTTGGCTAACACTGACTATTTTATTTCCAGAGTTTTTTTTTTTTAAAGTTGTATTTCCCGACTAACATGGTAGGATTTGAAATGTGGTCCTCTGTCTTGGGATTCTCCAGTATTAGAGATGGTTCCAATACATGGTAAGACTCATACCTACCAAGCTGCTAGTTTTGAGCAAGCTTTTAAAAGGTAAGATGCTGTGAAGTTATTGTTTCCAGGAATGAATAGGCTGTGTGTGTAGGGAGGGATGTAGCAACATTTAAGTCATTTTTTCCTTTTCTGTTTTGTAGCAAATCTCCCAGCTGCTCTCCTTATTACACCAAGGACAGTTCCAAGCTAAGCCAAATTTTCGAGGAAATAAATATTTGAAGAACTACAGGTATGTTCTCCTATAAAATCTCCTTCCCTTTGGAAAATGCAGGATTACAGGGATAGGATTGGGGGGGGCGGTGGGTCTAGGTAGAATGCTCTTTGAAGGGGCTGTGTGGACTCGATGGGCCGAATGGCCTGCTTCCACACAGTAGGGATTCTATGATTCTCTACTGAAAGATACTGTTTGCAATGCTGGAATACTTTTATAATTCAAGGAGACACAATGTGAGATTTACACACATTGAAAGTGGTTAGGATGTGGAATTATAATGCAGTGGTTACAGGGCCCAGGTTAGGGAGTACATGGAACATGGACAATGGAACATGGAACATTACAGCGCAGTACAGGCCCTTCGGCCCTCGATGTTGCGCCGACCTGTGAAACCAATCTGAAGCTCATCTAACCTAAACTATTCCATTATCATCCATATGTTTATCCAATGACCATTTAAATGCCCTTAAAGTGGGCGAGTCTACTATTTTTGCAGGCAGGGCATTCCACGCCCTTACTACTCTCTGAGTAAAGAACCTACCTCTGACATCTGTCCTATATCTATCACCCCTCAATTTAAAGCTATGTCCCCTCGTGCTAGCCATCACCATCCGAGGAAAAAGGCTCCCACTGTCCACCCTATCTAATCCTCTGATCATCTTGTATGTCTCTATCAAGTCACCTCTTAACCTTCTTCTCTCTAACGAAAACAGCCTCAAAACCCTCAGCCTTTCCTCATAAGACCTTCCCTCCATACCAGGCAACATCCTGGTAAATCTCCTCTGCACCCTTTCCAATGCTTCCACATCCTTCCTATAATGCGGTGACCAGAACTGTACGCAATACTCCAAGTGCGGCCGCACCAGAGTTTTGTACAGCTGCAACGTGACCTCATGGCTCCGAAACTCAATCCCTCTACCAATAAAACCTAACACACCGTACGCCTTCTTAACAACGCTATCAACCTGGGTGGCAACTTTCAGTGATCTATGCACATGGACACCGAGATCTTTCTGCTCATCCACACTACCAAGAATCTGACCATTAGCCCAGTACTCTGTATTCCTGTTATTCCTTCCAAAGTGAATCACCTCACACTTTTCCGCATTAAACTCCATTTGCCACCTCTCAGCCCAGCTCTGCAGCTTATCTATGTCCCTCTGTAACCTGCAACATCCTTCCGCACTATCCACAACTCCATTAACTTTGGTGTCATCCGCAAATTTACTAACCCATCCTTCTACGCCCTCATCCAGGTCATTTATAAAAATGACAAACAGCAGTGGCCCCAAAACAGATCCTTGAGGTACACCACTAGTAACTGAACTCCAGGATGAACATTTCCCATCAACCACCACCCTCTGTCTTCTTACAGCTAGCCAATTTCTGATCCAAACCGCTAAATCATCCTCAATCCCATGCCTCCGTATTTTCTGCAATAGCCTACCATGGGGAACCTTATCAAACGCTTTACTGAAATCCATATACACCACATCAACCGCTTTACCCTCATCTACCTGTTTGGTCACCTTCTCAAAGAACTCAATAAGGTTTGTGAGGCACGACCTTCCCTTCACAAAACCGTGTTGACTATTCCTAATCAAATTATTCCTTTCCAGATGATTATAAATCCTATCTCTTATAATCCTTTCCAACACTTTACCCACAACCGAAGTAAGGCTCACTGGTCTATAATTACCAGGGTTGTCTCTACTCCCCTTCTTGAACAAGGGGACAACATTTGCTAGTCTCCAGTCTTCTGGCACTATTCCTGAAGACAATGACGACATAAAGATCAAAGCCAAAGGCTCTGCAATCTCCTCTCTAGCTTCCCAGAGAATCCTAGGATAAATCCCATCCGGCCCAGGGGACTTATCTATTTTCACACCTTCCAGAATTGCTAACACCTCCTCCTTATGAACCTCAATCCCGTCTAGTCTAATAGACTGTATCTCAGTATTCTCCTCGACAACATTGTCTTTTTCCTGTGTGAATACTGACGAAAAATATTCATTTAGCACCTCTCCTATCTCTTCGGACTCCACGCACAACTTCCCACTACTGTCCTTGACCGGCCCCAATCTTACTCTAGTCATTCTTTTATTCCTGACATACCTATAGAAAGCTTTAGGGTTTTCCTTGATCCTACCTGCTAAAGACTTCTCATGTCCCCTCCTGGCTCTTCTTAGCTCTCTCTTTAGGTCCTTCCTGGCTAACTTGTAACTCTCAAGCGCCCTCACTGAGCCTTCACGCCTCATCTCTACATAAGCCTCCTTCTTCCTCTTGACAAGAGATTCAACTTCTTTCGTAAACCATGGTTCCCTCGCTCGACCACTTCCTCCCTGCCTGACAGGTACATACTTCTCAAGGACACGCAGTAGCTGTTCCTTGAACAAGCTCCACATTTCAATTGTGCCCAGCCCCTGCAGTTTCCTTCTCCATCCTATGCATCCTAAATCTTGCCTCATCGCCTCATAATTGCCTTTCCCCCAGCTATAACTCTTGCCCTGCGGTATATACCGATTCCTTTCCATCGCTAAAGTAAACGTAACCGAATTGTGGTCACTATCACCAAAGTGCTCACCTACCTCCAAATCTAACACCTGGCCTGGTTCATTACCCAGTACCAAATCCAATGTGGCCTCGCCTCTTGTTGGCCTACCTACATACTGTGTCAGGAAACCCTCCTGCACACATTGGACAAAAACTGACCCATCTGAAGTACTTGAACTATAGCGTTTCCAGTCAATATTTGGAAAGTTAAAGTCCCCCATAACAACTACCCTGTTACTTTCGCTCCTATCCAGAATCATCTTTGCAATCTTTTCCTCTGCATCTCTGGAACTTTTCGGAGGCCTATAGAAAACTCCCAACAGGGTGACCTCTCCTTTCCTGGTTCTAACCTCAGCCCATACTACCTCAGTAGACGAGTTGTCATCAAATGTCCTTTCTGCCACCGTAATACTGTCCTTGACTAACAATGCCACACTTCCCCCTCTTTTACCACCTTCCCTGATCTTACTGAAACATCTAAACCCCGGAACCTGCAACAACCATTCCTGTCCCTGCTCTATCCATGTCTCCGAAATGGCCACAACATCGAAGTCCCAGTTACCAACCCATCCTGCAAGTTCACCCACCTTATTCCGGATGCTCCTGGCATTGAAGTAGACACACTTCAAACCACCTTCCTGCCTGCCGGTACACTCCTGCGACCTTGAAACTTTCAGGACACCCTGGTTCACTCCTCCTCCACTCCCAACACCTCCCCACACCCCTACAGCACCTTCCCATGCAATCACAGAAGCTGTAAAATGTGCTGTTTACTTCCTCCTTCTTCACTATCCAAGGTCCCAAACATACATACCTTCCAGCCGAAGGAGCAATTTATCTATACTTCACTCAATCTCGTCTACTGTACTCACTGCTCAACGCTGTCTCCTCTATATTGGACAGACAAAACACAGACTGGACAACCATGTTTGCAGAACACCTACGTTCTATCCGTTAAAAACAACCCTGAAGTTTCAGTTGCCTGCCACTTCAACACACCACCCTGTTCCCTGGTCAATATCTGTCCCTGACCTGCTGCAGTGCTCCAGCGAAGCTCAGTGAAGGCTGGAAGAACAACAACCTCTTTTCCATTTGGGGACCTTGCAGCTTTCAGGAGTCAATATTGAGTTCAAAACTTTTATGGCCTGAACACCTCCAATGTCCTTTACCCACCCCTCACATCCCTAGCCATGTTATCTCATTGGCTGCTTTCAAATGATCCCCAGTAGCAACTTTTCTTCCTCCCTGGCTCACCATTATCCATTCCTTAGTCTGCCCAACTGGGGGTGTTCTCATTCTCTCGTGCTGTCACACTTGCTCCACCTATTTGTGCACTCTTTCTACCACCCCTGTCCCCATCCTAAGTGTATATACTATCTTTTCTTAGCTGCAATCAGTTCTGAAGAAGGGTGACTAGATCCAAAATGTTGACTCTGATTTCTCTCCACAGATGCTGCCAGACCTGCTGAGTTTCTCTAGCAATTTCTGTTTCTGTTTCTGCTGCTAGGCAAGTGTTTTTCACAATTTACATAACGATTTGAACTTATTAGAAGTTCAATTTGAAAATAGGCATTATCTGAAAATTTAAGGTATCCATACAATGGAAGATTGTGACAAAATACAGGTGTTAATAACATTGTGGAATGACTAATTGGCAAATGGATTTCAACATAAGTGAGTTAGTAGATTCTGGTTGGTAGAAAAAGAAACCAACATAATTGCTGAGAAATAAGGGTCTAAATAGGGTAAAGGTGCAAAGTGATTTTGGAGTTGCAGAAACACAAGTCATAAAGTAGCAATTCTGTTCATAGGGCTAAAGAAAGTGCAAGTAAAAACTGGGAGGGAATGAACTGAAAGGCAAAGAAGTTACTTTAAGGTCCTATAGTACCTTGGTTAAACCACACATGGGGTACTATAAATGGTTCTGCTCTCCACTTTACAAAACGGATGTAGAGACCTGGAAATATAGCAAAGAAGAATCACTTGGATAATACCAGAACTAAAAAGAGATTCCTATCAGGAACTATTGAGCAGGCTGAAACTGGTGCCTCTGGGACTTGAAGGGACCTAATGGGTGTCTTTGTCCTGACAAACCCTTCCATGATTTTAAAGGTAGAGAAGAATTTTATTCTTATGGGGAGTCCAAATCTTAGGTCATAAATACAAGATTGTAACAAATAAATTCATCAATGGAGAGACTAACGATGCTGAACCAGTAATTCAGAGGTTCAGTCTATGAATATTTGATGTGGGATTATGGGTTCAAATCCTACCACAGCAGCTGGTGGAATTTAAGTTCAAATTGCCTATAACTATCAGTAATGGTGACTGTGAAGCTATCAATGATTGTTGTAAAAACCCATCTGATTCACTAATGATGTTTAGGTAAGAAAATCTAATCCAGTCTGGGCTACATGTGGCACTAGACCCACAATACTGGATATTTTACAGAAGGGTAGATGACACTTAATAACTGAGCATGGCACTCAGTTCAAGGACAATTAGATAATCAATGCTGGAATAAAAACAAACTGCTGGATAAACTCGAGTCTGGCAGCATCTGTGGAGAGAAAACAGAGTTAATGTTTTGGGTCCAGTGACCTTTCTTCAGAACTTGCCAATGCCTCCCACATCCCAGGAGAGAGCTTTGTTTTATATTTTAAAAAAATTCTCGAGTGAGTGAGAATGGGCCTTGGATGCTTTGGTCCTGTTGATAAGGAAATGGGACTTTGGAAGGGATTGGGATGAAGACGGAATCCAGTTTGCCTGAGAGGACTTGGAAGAAGCTGAATGGTGAAAGATTTTTTTTCTAAAAATTTGTTTATGGGATGTGAGGTCTAATTGCCCAGAGGGTCAGTTCAGTCTCGAGTTAGCAGATTCCTTCTATGAAGAATGTTAGTGAATCAGATTGTCATTTTATGGTTACGTGGTCACCATTAAGTCAGATTTCATTAATTTCAAATTTTACCATTGGCCACAGTAGGACTCAAACCCTTGGAACATTAGCCTGGGGTTTTTAATTGCTAGTCCAGTGACATTACCATTTCCTCAGTGAAGTTGCTGTATTAGTTCTCTATCGATGTCTGCATAGTGTGATGTGTTTTGATTTTCAATATTTATGGCACAAATATTTAAACAAAGGAATATTATCATGAATAACAACTTGTAAGAACTTCAAAGATTTTTATTTTGAGCCATTTCTGAGAATGAAGAAAACCGCTCAATAAAAACATACTGACCACTTTTCCCTAACTCCAGGAGAGATGTGAGGTACGACTTAATTTCTTTTTCCATCGTCCTTGAGGAAAACCAACTCTTCCATTCCATCTGCGATGTCTTTCTCGTAAGGAGCTGGGCAGGGGTGGAATGAGGTGCGATAGTGAGGGTCACCACGGACCGTGCTGAGGAATCCAGCTGCCCCTGAGCAAGTTATACAGTTGGCCAGGATCACCGAGCCTTTTGACAGCAGTCTCTCTTCCTCCAGCAGACGCAGGTTCTTCAAATAGTCTGCACCTTGCCCCTGGTTCAGAAACACAAAATCGAATGTCTCCACCCCGAGCCATTTCTTGAATCGAGGAATGACCTCACAAAGAGATCCAGTGATCACTTGGAACTGGGGAGATGAGACACGTGTCAGAACTGAATGTACAGTGGGCCCCCATTTACTTCAATGAGAGGGGCCTTCAGCAGATCGGCACTTGACAGGAGATAAGAGGATTCAGTGGATGGGAAGACAGATTTGTCAAGGTGGCTGGTTCCCATGGTTCAGTAAGCAGCGCTCGCCTCTCAGCCAGGAAGTCATGGGTTCAATCCCTATTCCAGAGATTGGAGCATGACACTGCAGTAGGGGAAAGCTGCACTGACAAAAATGCAAGTTTGATGCCAAGTTCAAATGAGACCCATATGTAATGAACAAGTGAATGGAATGCCTTCCTCCTGTTACTGTGTAACAGGTTTGACTGGGCTGAATGGCCTCCTCCTGCCAACGTTCCTCTTCACGAGAACTAGGAGACAGGACAGGGGTATGTTTTTACGATTAGCTCCCCACCCCGCAAAACCCCAAACCTCCAGCATTGGGACTCTGGTAACAGACAATCTTAGTTACCTGCGTGTGTTTCAGTCCTGCCACCAGCATCATTTCCTCAGCCACTTCAGCAGTTTTGGGATCTTGCTCCAATGTATACAGCTTTGCTCCGGGTGTGAGGAGCCTTGCAATGCGAATTGCTGAGTAACCACAATTTGTTCCCAGCTCAAGAGCCCTGACCGGGCCACTGCGCTGTACCACTGATTCGAGGATCTGACCTGCAACACATCCACAATTACAAACAGCAGCCTGTGATCAGTTTTACACAGGCTAGAAGGAGGCTCTTTCGGCCCATTATGGCTGTGCTGGCACTTTGAAAAAGCTAGTCAATTAAACTCACTTCCCCTGTATTTTCAGTGGGTGACACTGTCTTTCACCTCTGAGGCAGAAGGTTGTGTGTTCCAATCCCACTTTGGAGGCTCTGAGCACTGGAGGCGGACATGCCCAATGTAGTACTGAAGGAGTGCTGCACTGTCAGAGGTGCTGACCTTCGGATCAGACAATAAAGTAAAACCACAGTTGGTCTCTTAGGTCATGTGATTACTTTATGGAAAAGAGCAAGAATGTTCCCTGAACACTCCAGGGCCAATATTAATCCCTCAGCCTGCATCACTACAACTGCTTTGTATTATATTGTTGTCTTTGGCAGTTTGCTATGCACACATTACTTGCTCTTTTATGCACATTATGACTGTGACCAGCTTTATTACGGAAAGTGGAATAAATATGAGGCACGGGAAGATACAAAACTATGGGGAGAAAACTGGGGCAGTGGGATTAGTTTTAGGATTAATACAGGTTTTGTGGAAGAGAGTGGGATTAGTTTTATGATTCAGATAGATTTACAGGGAGAGGGCAGTGGGATTGGTTTTTGGGATTGATGCAGAGCTATGGGGAGAGTTTGGGATTAATTTTGTGATTCATATAGGTTTATAGGGAGAGGTTGGGGTAGTGGGATTGACATAGGGCTAAAGGGAAAGCAAGGGACAGTTTGATTAATTATGGAATTGATGTATGGCTACAGGGCAATGGGATCAGTTTGGTATTGATACAAGGTTATAGGGAGGGTGTGGAGCAGTGGGATCAATTTTGGAATTGCCATCGGTCTATTTTTTTTTCCTTTATTCATTATTGGAATGAGGATGTCATTGGCTGGGCAGCATTTATTGTCCATCCCTAATTGCCCAGAGGGCAACATCAGAGTCAACCACATTGCTGAGGGTCTGGAGTCACATGTAGGCCAGGCCAGGTAAGGATGGCAGTTTCCTTCCCTAAAGGACATTAGTGAACCAGATGGGTTTTTCCTGACAATCAGCAATGGATTCATGGACATCATTGGATTCTTAATTCCAGATTTTTTTTTAATCAAATTCAATCTCCACCATCTTCTGTGGCAGGATTCAAACCCGGGTCCACCGGAATGTTATCCGGGTCTCTGGATTAACAGCCCAGCGTTAATACCACTAGGCTATTGCCTCCACAGTGGGGAGTGAGATTAGTTTGGGTTTCATACAAGGCTTTGTGGAGAGTGTGGGACCGTGGGATGAGTCTGTAATTGAGACACGGCTATGGGAAGAGCGTGGGGCAGTTGAATTTATTGCGGAATTTATGTAAGGCTATGTGGCAGGGGAATTATTTTGGATTGATACAAGGCTACGGAGAAAATGTGAGGCAGTGGGATTGTTTTGGGATCAGTCTGTAAAGCATTAGCGCAGGGCTGAAAGTCCTGAATAGTTTTATGACCCTGTCATCTTCCGGGATAGTCGAAAGGTTTTGATACAGTGGTGTACAGGGATACAGTGACTAAGTGACTGGACCTAACCTTTGGCGGGGCCGGTGCTTGTCACACACTCGTATTTGCCACACCACTCGTCCAATGTGCTTAGTACACTCTCGGGCTTCCCGTGTGTCGAGTTGGTCAAAACGTAACGGAACGCCCGTTCTTCCGGGGACATTCCGGTCAGGCAGGTCTTAAACCAGCCCAGGAATCGGTGACGGTAGAAGCGGATCAGCCGGTGGTGATATCGGTTCGCCAGGGCAGTGCAGACGGGCACCAGGATTGCAGCCAGAACAGGAAGCCACGTCTTCAGCTGAGAGGAGCAGGATACACGGAGCGTTATTAAATCTCTGCGGAAACTCAACATCCTGTAGCAATCATTCGCCAAATCATTTTCTGCTCAAGGTATCCAATGTTGCTCCGTGAGCAGAACTCTCTCACCCTCTAGCTCACAGGGCGTGTATTGCACATATGTTTAACTAACCTCGGATATCGTGTCCAGGCCTGCTGTGTTCCTCCAGCTCCGCACTGTGTTACCTACATCTAACTAACCTGTTCAGAGGTGAACAGATAGTCACATCTTGAATCTGTTCTGATGGCCGGACAGGGAGTACAGAAGATCAGAAGGACCTTGGTGTGTATGTCCATGGATCCTTGAAGGCGGAAGGACAAGTAGATAAAGTGGCTAAGAAGGCAGAGGGGATTCTTGCCTTTATTAGTTAAGGCACTGAATATAAGAGCAAGGATGTCTTGATGGAGCTGGAGTACTGTGTGCAGTTCTGACCACCACACTACAGGAAGGATGTAATTGTGCTGGAGAGGGTGCAGTGGAGATTCACCAGGATGTGGCCTGGCCTGGAGCAATTCAGCAATGAAGAGAGACTAGAGAGTCTAGTGTTGTCGTCCTGACAGCAGAGTAGGTGGGGTGACTTGATTGGGGTGTACAAAGTTATGAGGGGCATGGGTAGGGTAGATAGGGGGAATTTTTCCCCTGGCAGAGGGGTCAGTAACCACGAGGCTCAGTTTTAAGGTAAGGAGCAGAAGATTTGAACAGTAAAGGAATTAAGGGTTATGGGGAGTGGGCGGGTAAATGGAGCTGAGTCTCAAAAAGATCAGCCATGATCTTATTAAATGGCGGGGCAGGCTCGAGGGGCCAGATGGCCTACTCCTGCTCCTAGTTCTTATGTTCTTATTTAGAGGGGATTTGAGGAAATGTCTTTTCACCCAGAGAGTGTTATCTAGAACATGCTGCCCATAAGGGTACTAGGGGCAGGAAACCTGGACTATGGGCCAAGTGCTAGAAAATGCAATTCCAATAGATAGATGTTATTGACTAGCACAGACACGATGGGCCGAAGTGCCTGTTTGTGTACTGTAAAAACTTTGATGGTATTTGTTATGACACATCTCTCAAGCAGGTGGGACTTGAATCTGGACCTTCTGGTTCAGAATTAGGGACACTAACACTGTACTACACCAACCCTCTTTCATATGTAAAGACCAAAGGAGTGCTGCACTGTCCTAGGTCAGTACTGAAGGAGTGCTTCATTGTTGATTTGATTTGATTTGATTTATTGTTGTACCTCAGTACAGTGAAATGTTTTGTTTTGCGAGCAGTACAGGTAGATCATAACATACAAGGACAGACAGATCATAGGGTGTTTAGACAGAGCGAGGCATACAAGGTTATGGCTGCACAGGAGGTACACAAAAGCAAGAGCAACATTAGATTTGAAATTAGAGAAGTCCATTCAGCAGTCTAATAAGAGCAAGGAAGAAGGGATAGTACTGGGAGAGTGCTAAATTGTCAGACAGTCAGAACTGAGTGGGTGCTGCACCATTGGATGGTCAGAACTGAGGGACTGCTGCACTGTTGGACAGCCAGTATTGAGGGAGTGCTGCACTGTTGGAAGTTCTGTCTTTTTAGCGAGGCATTGAGCTCAAGCCTCAAAAGGATATAAAACTGCATTTGCCAAACTGTGGATCAGGACCCCATTGGGCTGGCAATGAATACCACGGAGCTCAGATTGCTTTTGGTTAGGTGTGAAACTGTTTTAAACCCTGGTATTTCTTTGTTGTTGGTGAACATGGCCTAATGGGTTATTCTCTGACATCCAATTGCTGCTGCAAAAAAGCCAGTGAAAAGGATTCTTTGTTTCTTTCATAGAAACCTGCCTGTACATTCATGTCCAAAGAGTTCAACCCTGTTCTCCCACATCCAGCCCTAGCCAAGAATAAAGACTCCCGAACCCCCATCCGCTTAAATTGGAGGCATTAAAATGGACCCAGGAAAATATTTTGTATTGAAATAAACAATCCTGTTTTGATGAAGACCAGAAATATTGCTTGAACTTGATTCAGTTTCAGTCACTACACTGCACATCCTTAAGTGCTGAAATATGAAAATCTAACATGCTAACATGAACTATGTAACATTATTGTACCATAAAGCTTTCACAAGAAACTTGAGCCATTAAACAAATACTTTGTTACTCCCTTCATAGTAGAAGACAGAAGAAACATTAATGAAATAACGAGGAACCAAGTTGAACAAGATTAAGAGGCACATCAAGTCCTTACCCTGAATGAGATAAGAATATTCACAGAGTAGTCTGTCAACCTTTACTCTCTCACTGGCTGGGATTTGTTCTATCTGGGACAGTTTGGGCTCAGAAACCAGTTTAATTGCTGTGCTTGTTAGCTCTGAGGACCCTTTCTGGCCTGCATACCTTCAGCTCAAAGCAGCATCAGGTACAGCTGACAGCTAGTGTCAGAACTTGAACAGAGATAACTGGCAATTCCATCTGCACCCATTGTGCAGTCTTTCATGAACAGAGCCAGGAATTGGACAATGAAAAGGCCATTTCAAACCCTTGGGTCTGTTCAAACATCTTATTGGATCATAACTGATCTGTAATTTATATCTATTTATCCACATTTGAACCATATTTATTAATATCCTGGATGAGCAATAAACCGTTTCATTCATGAACGCTGTAATTTGCAGCTTTCTCAAGACAGACAGTTCCAGATTTACACCACTGTGTTCAGAATTCTTTTCTCTCAGGAATAGTGGGGGCTAGGTCATTGAATATGTTCAAAGCTGAGTTAGATGGATTTTGGATTGACAGGAGAGTCCAGAGATACGTGGGGTAGGGAAGGCTGGTGGTGTGGTAGACAGTAATGTGGTGTTGAGGCCAAATCAGATCAGCCATAATTTTATCAATGGTGGGGCAAGGTCAAGGGGCTGAATGGAGCCCTTCTGACCCTATTTCTTGTGTGTGCCTGAGAACCTTGATCCATCTTGATCCATCTTGATCCCTAGCTAATGTCCCCACATGTAATAGTCACGTGAAACGCACAAGCTTTGATAGCAAGAAGATTGTCAATCTAGTGTAGCATCACATCCAAAGCCACTCTCTGTCTATGTGCACAACCCTCTGCAAGCAAGAGCACCTTTCACATATTGAAGTCTCTCCAGGCACTTAACAGGACCAAAACAAAATTTGACTCTGAGTCACATATTAGGTCAGGCAACCAAAATTTGATTGATGAAAGAGGTCATTTTTAATAAACATCTTAAAAGAGGAAAAAGGTAGAGAGATTTAAGGAGGAAACTCTTAAACTATGTCCCCTAGTTTTTAGTCTAATTTTTGGAATAAGATGTCTCCCTCTTAAGACAGAGATGAGGAGAAACATTTTCTCTCAGATGTTTGATGGAGTGTGGAATTCTCTCGTTCAGCGGGAACGGAAGGCTGGATCTTGAAATTTATCCAAGGTTGAGTTAGGTAGGTTTTGATAATCAAGGGAGTTAAGGGTTATGGAGCTTAGACAGGAAGTTGAGCTTAGACAACAATCTGATCAACCACAATCTTATTGAATGGTGGAGCAAGTTCGAAGGGCCATGTGGCCTATTTCTGCTCTGTTTCTTCGTAGGACCCAGGCAGTTGAAAGTGCAGGGCATTGGTGAAATCACACCTTGAATACAATGTTCAGTTTTGGTCTCCCTATTTAAGAAAGGATGAGAATGCATTGGAGATGGTTCAGAGGAGCTTTACTCAATGCGTGGGTTAGAACACAGAACATAGAACAATACGACACAGGAATGGGCCCTTCGGCCCACGATGTTGTGCCGAACATGATGCCAGATTAAACTAATCCCTTCTCTCTTCGTTGGTCCCTATCCCTCCATCCCTTGCATATTCATGTGCTTATCCAAAAGTCCCTTAAACACCCCTATCATATCTGCCTCCACCACTATCCCTGGCAGCGTGATCCAGACTCCTACCATTCTCTGTGTAAAAAACTTTCCCCCCCACTCACCTTAAATGCATTCCACCTAGTATTAGACACTTCAACTCTGGGAAAAAGATTCTTACTGTCAACCCTATCTATGCATCTCATAATTTTATAGACTTCTATCATGTCACTGCCCCCTCCTCCTCAGCCTCTGCTGCTCCAGAGAAAACAACGTGAGTTTTTCTAGCCTTCCTTATAACTCATACCTTCTACTTCAGGCAGAATCTTGGTAAACCTCTTCTGCACCCTCTCCAAAGCCTCCACATCCTTCCTATAATGTGGCAACCAGAATTGAATGCAATACTCTAACTGTGGCCTAACCAAAGTCTTATAAAGCTGCAACATGACATCCTGACTCTTGTATTCAATTCCCTGATGAATGAAGGCACACATGCCAAAAGCCTTCTTTATCACTCTCTCTACTTGTGTTGCCACTTTCAGAAAGCTAAAGACTTGAATCCCAAGATCCCTCTGTACATCAATGCTGCTCAGGGTCCTGCCATTAACTGTATACTTTTCCTTAACATTTGATCTCCCAAAGTGCAGCACCTCACACTTATCTGGATTAAACTCCATCTGCCAATTCTCTGTCCATATCTGCAACTAATCTGTATCCTGCTGTATCCTTTGACAACATTTTACACTATCCACAACTCCACCAATCTTTGTGTTGTCTGCAAACTTACTATCCCACCCATCTACATTTTCATCCAAGTCATTTATATATCACAAACAGCAGAGGTCCCAGTATGGATCTCTGCAGAACACCACTAGTCACTGACCTCCAGCCTGAAATACACCCTTCCATCACTACCCTCTGCCTTCAATGGGCAAGCCAATTCTGAACCCAAGCAGCCAAGTCACCATGGATCCCACACATCTTTAGCTGCTGGATGGGCCTACCACGAGGGACCTCATTGAAAACTTACTAAAATCCATGTAGACATCATCCATTGTTCTACCCTCATCGACTACCTTCGTCACCTCCTTAAAAAATTCAATCAAGTTAGTAAGACATGACCTGCCCCTCTCATAGCCATGCTGACTGTCCCTAATTAGGCCATGTTTATCCAAATGCGTGTAAATCCAAACCCTGAGAATTCTCTCCAATAGCTTCTCAATCACCAATGTGAGAGTTACTAGGACTTCTCCAGTGGCTCACTAGGATGCAAAGATCTTGGTCAAGGTCCTAGCAATCTGCTGTCTTGCCTCTCTCAGTAACCTGGGGTAGGTACGTGGAGATGCCAGTACTGGACTGGACTTCACCTGATGAAACAGCAGTGCTTCGAAAGCTTGTGATTTTAAATAAACCTGTTGGACTATAACACCTGCTTTCATGTGATATCTGACTTTGTGGTAGATACCATCAGGCCCTGGGGACTTATCTGCCTCAATGCTCTTCAAGAGATCCAATACCACTTTTTTCTTGATCTCAAATGCCCTAGCATGTTAGGATGCTCCACACTAATTTCAATATCCTCCATATCCTTCTCCTGGGTGAATACCAATATGAAGTACTCATTTAGGATCTTGCTCACATCCTCTGCCTCCAAGCACAAGTTCCCTCCTTTATCCATGAGTGGTCCTACTTTCTCCCTCGTCATCCTCTTGTTTTTAATGTATGTATAGAATGCCTTTGGATTCTCTTTAACCCTAGTTGCCAAGGTCATTTCATAGCCCATTCTTGTTCTCCAGTTTCCTGCTTATGGGTTGTCTGAGGACAGACTGGGCAGCCTGGGCTTCTTTCCATTGGAGTTTGGAAGAGTGGGGTCAATTTAGTTGAAATGTATAAGCTCCTGAATGGTATTCACAAGGTGGATGAGGAAAGAATGTTTCCTGTTATGGGTCTGTCACAAAACTAGGGGGCACTGTTTTAAAATTAGGGTCGCCCTTTCAGGACAGAAATGAGGAGAACTGTTATTCCCTCAGAGAGTTGTGTGACTTTGAAACTTTCTGCCTCAGAAGTCGATGGAGTTGGGGTTATTGAATAGTTTTAAGACAGAGTTGGATAGATTTTTATGACACAGGGGAAACCAAGAGTTATTGGGAGTTGATGAGAACATGGAATTTGAAATAGAGATTAGCCATGATCTTATTGAATGGTTGAGAAGTATCAAAGGGCTGAAAGGTCCACTTGTGTTCCTACCTTGCATGTTCCTTTATTGATACAGTAGCCAATCATGACGCGATTAAAATCTGGGGGCACATAAGAAGCCAGAATTGGTCAGGTGCTGATGCCTCAGAAGGCTGTAGAGCAGGAAAGATATGACAAAGATCAGGAAGGTTGGGAAACAAAAGATATATGAACACAAAAGATTTTAAAATTGAGTTTTTTTTTGGAGCAGGATTCAATGCTTTCCTGGGTTTTCCATGATCCAGACGAGAGAGGGAGATGTGAGATTGCCTGGCTGAAGATTCAGGAAGATGTACAATCTACATAGTTTCCCTTCCACAGTCAGGTGGAGGCTGCTTTGTGAATGAAATGTGCGCATGCGCCACAGCCAAAGCACCAATTCACCATCGCGCTGCCTTCTGGGATATGAAGTCCGCCATTAACACCGTGGGCAGGCCGAACAGCAAACATTCCTCCCGCTTTCGAAACTACGATCGTTGGACCGGAGCACCAACTGGAAGCAACTGCTGGACTCTTTGTACACTAAGTATTTTCATGTATTTCTAAATAAATAATTTATATTTTCAATTCTATATAAATAAACATGAATAAAAAAGAACAGCCCTGTCAGCGGTACATAAAACAATTGGACTCAAAAGCAATTCCAACATTTCAGTAGCCTTGCTGGGTAAGAAGAGATCAGTCTGACTGGAACAGGTTCGAGGGGATGCTCACTTCTGTCATCAAGAGTGTTTAGAGAAAACTGCTCCTCGGATAATAGGAACAGGAGTAAGCCATTCAGTTCCCCGAGCCTGTTTCGCCATGCAACGAAAACTTGACTGATCTATGGCTTAACTCCAAATACCATGGACCATAGACCAACTCGTGGACTTTGGCCCATATCCTTTGGTATCTTTGTTTAACATAAAAATAAATTAAATTAAATTTTAAATTAACAATCGATCTAGCATCCGCTTAGGAAATCCCGAATTTAGATCAATTGGTAAAGATTAAAATTCATCGCTTGAAAATAGTATTAAAACCTCTATTTAAAACTCGAAAGGTGAAACTTACCGTTTAGGTCCGGTTGCTACGGGGGATTCCTCAGACGGAAGAGCCATACAACATGACAGACCGCAAGGCTTATCAAGTTAAAAATGATCCGGGAACATCAGGCGCCCTCCAGCCGAAAGTGGTGGAATAAATTTGTCCCTTCACGGCCATTCGCGAATTTTAATTATTCTATGAACTTTCCAAAGGAAACTTCAACTTCTATCGGCAAAAGTACAATATTGATGATCTGTGCAGAAGTTATTAGCCTTGAGCAATTCGACAGAAATGACTGAATTAGTTTTATTGTCACTTATACTCAAAAGCATACAAGTGTACAACGTGACAGACCGGAAGGCTTGTCGAGTTAAAAATGTTCCGGGAACATCAGGCGCCTTCCAGCTGAACGTGGCGGAAATAAATCGCAGAATTGTTATAGTGCAATGGAGGAGGAGGCCATTTCGCCTATCGCGTCTGTATCGGCTCTTAGCGTTTTAACCTCGTGCCAGTCTTCTGCCTTTTCCCTGCGACTCTGCACATTGTTTCTATTTAAATAATCATCTAATACCCTCGAATGCCTGCATGTACACTTCCAGACAGTGTATTCCAAACCCTAACTGCACATGGTGAGAACTTTCTGCTCATCTTGCATTTGCTTCTTTACTAACTTTCGTTTCTTTATGATTGTGCTGTCTGGTTCTCGATCCTTTTATGAATGGAAAAGTTTCTCCTCATCAAATCTGTCCAGACTGCTTGTGATTTTGAAAATTTATATCTAATCTCTAAGCCTTGTCTTCTCCACTCTTTTCTCAGGGCTGACGTGTTTCATCCATGAAACCATTCTAGTAAACCTTTTCTGAATTCTCTCCACTGTTTTCATATTCTTCCTATAGTGTCAAATTCAGAACTGTACATAATACCCCAGTTGAAGTCTAACCAGTGCCCTTTGTGTGTACAGCATAACTTCAAAGAAGGTCAACTGGCTGGATGGGTGGTTAGAGAAATTATAATGAAGAAATTGATAGATTGAAGGTTGATAAATCCCTCGGGCCTGATAATCTACACACCAGAGTACCGAGGGAAGTGGCCCTAGAAATAATGGATGCGTTGGTGGTCACCTTCCAAAATTCTTTAGACTCTGGATGGCTAGTTTGTGATGCTGAGTGATGCCAACAGCATGGGTTCAATTCCCACACTGGCTGAGGTCACCACCAATGTCTCAACTGGAACAACTTGGCCAGGACACAGCTAATTTTGAAACACCAGCCTTCAGGACTAAGACAGATGTTTCCATGAAGGAGCCTTGCAGTTTTCCATGCCTTCAGCCAATCCTTGATATTATATGAAGTGAATCAAATTGGTTAAAGATACATCAGTGTCTGGCACTTGTGTAGCATGCATGTTATTTGCCATTAATCAACCCAAGCCTGAATGTTAATATCTGAGGGCTTGTAGATGGTAATAAATACTGAAATCATCAGCGAAGATCATTGCTGTAGATGCTGAATGTGTTTGGGCCTAAGACTCTACCCTGAGGAACTTGTGCAGCAACAGCCTGTGGTGTAGTGACTCTCGAGTTAAATTTACCACTCTCTAATGTTAAAGATTTGTTGCGCTTATGACTAATAGACCTCTCTACTAATCCTGCTCCCTTTAATGACTTGTGTACCTACACATCCAGGTCTTTCTGCTTGTGCTCTCCTATTCTATGATTCATCTTGGCCTCCTTCTGAGGTTCCAGCATCACTAATGAATCTTTAGCCAATTTGATGCACTTCACATAATATCAATGGCAATGGAAGCAGTCATCAACAGCGCTGTTAAACAATACTTGCTCAGTAATAAGCTGCTCACTGATGCTTATTTCTGCTTCTACCAGGGCCACCATGGTTTGTTCAAACCCTAACAAGAGAGTTGAATTGAGTGTAACTGCCTTTGACATCATGGCATCATTTTGACTGAGTGTGGCATTAAATAGCCAACAATAGTGAAGTCAATGGTAATTGGGGGAAAACTCTCCACTGTATAGAGTCATATCTAGCACAAAGGAAGATGGTTGTTGTTGGAGATCAGTCTTCTGAACCCCTAAATGTTGCTGCAAGAATTCCTCAGGGTAGTGTCCTCGGCCAAAACACATTCAGTTGCTTCATCAATAACCTTTGTTTATGATTTCAGTATTTATTATCATTCACAACTCCTCAGAAATTAACATTCAGGCTTGGGTTAATCAATGGCAAGTAATGTTCATGCCACACAAGTGCCTGCCATGACCATCTCCCCTTGCCATTCAATAGCATTACTATCATTTAATTTCATGTTGTCAACATCTTTGGGTTGGAGGGATGTTCCTATCATTTAACAAGGACATAACTGGATTAGCCATAAAAGAACTGTGGCTATGACAGACAGTCAAGGGCTAGGTATGCTGCAATGAGTAACTCAATAAATTTTGCAACAACACCAAGTTGTATTTCTAAGCCCTTTAATGTCGTAAAACTTCACAGGTACAATTATCAAACAAATCCTGATCAGAGCCACAAAAAGACTTATTGCACAGGTAATGCGAAGCTTGATCCAAATAGCTGGCTTTAAGTAGTGTCTTAAAGGAGGAAGAGGGAAATGCAGAGGTATTTAGGGAGAGAATTCCAGAACTGACAGGAGTTCAAATAAAGAAATCTGTTACTCTTACACAGATCAGTCTGAACGCAACTCGTGTTCCACGAAGAGCCACGTAACAAAGGATGAGCAATTCATTCATTTTGGTGACTTCTTCAAAGACTACAGACCAAAGCTGGAGTGCAAGAACACAGCACTCAGCAGCAGAAATTCATCAGCAACTGTTAGTTACAATTGAGAATTTACAAAATAAATGCACACGATTGGCATTCAGCAGCATTAGCATTAACGGTTATGTTTGATATTTCAACAGTAACCAAAACAGAAACATCTTATTACCCATTGGTATTCCAATAGAGTGCAAGCCATCAACAATGCAGCATTGTTTTAGCACAAACATTTAATTCTAAATTCCAACCAAACTAATTGCTACAGTGAAATTTTAGTTCAGATACAGTTATTAGGAACAAACAAAATGTGAAAATGCGTATTGCTTTAACTGATGGAAGATATTCCAGGTTTGGATGGCACAAACTTTAGTTTGTTTGATTCCTTCCTTTCAGGATAGGAATTTCAGGTTGCTGATTTGCTTGCCGAGCTGGCTTGTTTTTGTTCAGACATTTCGTCACCATGCTAGGTAACATCAGTGGTGAGGCCTCCGATGAAGCAATGTTGTTCTACTGCACTTGGAATCTATACTGACCGGTCTGTTATGGTGAGTAGTGTCATTTCCGGTTTTGTTCTGAATGGGTTTGTATATGAGGTTCAATTCTATATGTTTATTGATTGCATTATGGGTTAAGAACCATGCCTCTAGGAATTCCCAGGACAATGAAGGCCATCAGTTTAACTGCGACAACATAACCATAGTGGCCCAAGCCAAACATGGACACGCACGGGAATTCCTAGAGGCATGGTTCTCAACACATAATGCAATCAACAAACATACAGAATTGGAGCCCATATACAAACTCATACAGAACAAACCCGGAAATGACACTACTCACCTTAATGGACCGGACAGTATAAATTCCAAGCCGAGTACAACAACATTGCCTCGTTGGAGGCCTCACTGATGACGTTACCTAGCATGGTGACGAAACGTCTGAATGAAAACAAGCCAGCTCGGCGAGCAAATCAATAACCTTACCCACAACCCTAGCTACATATCTTTGTTAAAACCTTAAATAGGAATTTCACTTTTGTCTCATTACAGCTACTGCTATCTGTATGATGCGAGCATTAACTCATCTTAGATGAAGTCCTGTAGTCCTCACAGTGTAGCACTCCTAAAGTAGTGTTCTACCCCAGGGACCATACAAGACTACTCCTGGAACTCAAGCATCTTATTTTAATGTAAAATAAAGAACTAAGGATGCTGGAGATCTGAAACAGAAACAAGTTACTGGAGAAACTCAGCAGGTCTGGCAGTATGTGTGAGAAGAAAGCAGAGTTAATATTTCAAGATCACTGACTCTTCATCAGAACAGTTCTGACAAAGAGTTACCGGTCTTGAGTTGTAACTCTGCTTTCTTCCCACAGGTGCTGCCAGACCTCTTGAGGTCCACAGCCTTATTATAATGTACAAAATCTAAATCATTATTAATTAGACATGAGGCAATTTGTAAAGTAGACATTTATTAAGGAATGATGTAAACAGTGTCATTCAATACGGATTGCATCATTGCAGTTTCCAGGGTCATCTCCTGGTGCAGCACGTACTGGGTTGTCTTTTGCCTGACAGATGTTTATGTGTATACTGCACATTAGGTGCATAATAGGAACAAGAAAGGGCAGCCTGATAAATTGTTTGTATTGGAGAGAAGACTTCTAAATTAAATGAGGGTGACATTTTCCAACATTAATTGAGCAGCCATCAAACAGAAAAGAAGCTGGTTTCATTACTGTCATCACCATTTGATCAGTATTTTTTACTATGTAAAGATTAGGTCAACTGTACAATACATTAACAGATCATTCAGCTCCATTCACTGGCATTTTTTTGCTCTGCTAATGCCACCTCCCAGCCTACTTCATCTCACCTAAAGAACTGGAGGAGGCACAACTGGGTAGATGCCGAGAAGAAGCTTCCTCTCATAGGGGAATTTTCCCCCTTGGGTCACTGTTTGAAAATAAGTGGTCTCCCATTTAAGTCAGAGACGAGGAGCAATTTCTTCCCCTGGACGGCCATTAGTGTTTGCAATTCTTGGCCCTAGCTAGCAATGGAGACTGGGTCACTGAAAATACATTGAAGGAGTTGGACAGATTTTTAATGGGAAATCAGCAGTCTCAGAGCGGAGTCACCAAGTGAAGAGGAAGTATGTGAATATTATTATAATCCTGGGAGGGGTAGAAGATTAGTGCAGAGCAGTAGGATCAGTTTTCAAATTGCATTAATAAAGAGCAGGGAATGATAGTCAACTGAACATCATCCTGTTGTGCGTAAATCTCTGTGGGAAGAGCCATTTTGCTTCCCCAATAGCTAAGCGTGTACCAGTCTGCAGTCTGGTATTTTATAGCAACAGCTAGTGGCGGTCATGGCAGAATGAGAACATTTGTTGCAGAAATCCATCCACCATAGCCCGCTCTGCTGTTCTTCAATAGTTGTGCAATCTTTGGTGTTGGACAAGCTGTACATACACTTAGAACAAGTATAAGCCTTGTGGCACAAGAATGGTCCAGTCACAGAACACAGAGCAGGATGAGGCCACCTCTCTATTCAGATCATCCCACACCTGTGACTCCACTGTGGGATGCGAGCCTGCCTGCCAGGGCTTCCGAACGATGGTCCAAGCAGATGGTACTCGCTGATCTCAGTCGTCCATCCTTGGCGAGTAGGCTTCTATTGCTAAGTGGTGAGACATGAAGACTGCCCATGCTCCACGAGTGTGTTAGATCTGAAGCCATGCCTGCCTGCAGCTGGGAACCTCCCCAGTCTTCACTGACTTCACGTGGACGTTCCTGAGGGATTGGCAATCTGGGACTGGCCAAAGAAGGAAGACAAGGGGAGGACATCACCGACCTCAGGACACTGTGCTCATTGGAGAAACTGAAACTTCCTGGCAAGGAAAGATATATTATTGGTAACAACTAATTCAGTCTCCTCAGCCTTACTTATTGGAATTTATACTTGAAATTCCTTGGGTCTTCCACCTCTCTGTTCACCTTGAAAAATGATCCTTTTTTTCCTCACTTAACCTTTGTGGATTGGTCTGTACCCATCCCTCACCAACACCCATCCACAAAATACACATGCACACCATCCCCCACCCACTGCTGATATCCTGAATTCCCCAGGCCCCATTCCTGTGCCAAACTAGTTCATCAGAAACTGAAACATTAACTCTTTTTTCATTCTCCATTGATGCAATCTGACCATTTTCTCTTAATTTTAGATCCTTCCAGCATCTGTAGTATTCTTTTGATGTTTTTTGAATCATCAGATTTCATATTTGAATAGTGATTTAGCAATGCAGCAAAATATCCTAAGGCACTTCACTGGCAGCGTTACCAAACAATTAGGGACCAAGACACACAAGGAAATATTTGGACAGGTGACTACTGACAGAAATTCATGTAATCAGTGCCTTAACTAAAGAAGGAGGATGGTAGAGAGATGAGACGTTTAGGAAGGAAATTCCAGAGCTCTAGGCCTAGGCAGCTGAAGACACCAATTATAAGTGATTAAAGAACTGAAGAAACACAGAGCTCCTGAGGGTTTCTCGGAGATAGATCAAAGAGGCAAGAAACAAAATGACAAAATATTACAGATGCTGGAAATCTGAAACAAACACAGAATGCTAGAGAGATTCAGCAGAATCTTTGGAGGGAGAAACAGACAATGTTTCGAGTCTGGAATGACTCTTCAGAAGACTCTTCTTCAGAGTCTCTGAAGAAGACTTATACTAGATTTGAAACATTAATTCTGTTACTCTTCCCAAAGCAGCTGCCAGACCTGCTGAGTTTCTCCAAGATGTGAAAGGGAGCATTTGGAAAGACAAACAGTGAAAAGTTGGAAATCTGAACAAAAAAAAACACAGAAAAACACTGGAAATATGCAGCTGGTCAGTGTGCATCTGGAAAGGTAGGAAACTACCTAATAATTTGCATCCTGATTAATGACTGCATCTTTTTCAACATCGTCCGAACCACAGTACAATTCTAGTCTATACCTGTATGAATAACGCTACAGAGTTGATAATGCCGCGTAAAATATTCATCACCATAAGTGGCATACCGTGGTGGTCAATTCTGTGTTAAGCATTGCCTGTACGGCTCAAGGGCTTCACTCAAGCATGGTGTTTTCTGCGGCATTTGCTACTGAGAAACATAAATATCATAGCTAACATGCTCATTCCTTTACTCCCTGAATTTATACTGGATCATTTATCTTCCCTAAACTCAACTTTCAGAGCACAAAGGGTCAGCTCCCTCAACCCTTAGGGAGGAAATTCAAGAGCTCTAGGCTTAGGCAGCTGAGGACACCAATTAGAACTGAAGAAACACAGAGCTCCTGGGGGTTTCAAGGAGATAGATCAAAGATGCAAGAAACAAAACGGCAAAGTATTACAGATGCTGGAAATCTGAAACAAGTACAAAATGCTAGACAGATTCAGCAGCATTGGAGGGAGAAACTGACAATCATTACTATTCCCAACACATCAAGAAATAATTTCAATGTAGTGGTGAAAACTGATTGCCAATTATTTCAGAAATCCTAACAATGTATTACCTCTTAGCACACCAATTCTTTTACTTTTCATTTAATTTTTATATTGCATCTTCTCATTTATCCTACCTGGGAAGCATTCTGAAGGGGGAAGATAAATAGCTAGAGGTCATGATCGCATGCAAGAAAAAGAAAAGAGATCTTGCAAACAGTCTTTAGGGAGTTAGGTAGGAAATTCAAAAACAGGAATTCATACATAGTAAAACCTCTGGATTACTTCTGGTAACACGCATTAGTGAATAAAGGAACAGAAGGACAGAGTGGATGAATGTGTAGCTGGAGGGACAGTGAGGGAGGGAGGATTTTAAATTCCTGGGGTATTGGGACTATTTCTGAGGGAGGTGGGACCTGTACAAATCAGCCAGGTTACATCTGTACAGGAATGGGATAAGCAACCTTGCAGGGAGGTTTACTTATTCTGTGGGGGTGGATCTAAATGAGATTGACACTGGATGAGATCCTGATGAGTAATTCAGACAGGATAGAAGCTGAGATGGAATCAGAATTTAACACATGGCGAGGAAAGTCTGGAGGTTAGAGGAAACATAGCTTAGTTAAGAAAGAATTGAGCTTTCAAGGCAAAACGGAATATAACGCAAAGAGCCTAGGGAATAAGGTAGATAAGCTGAGGGTACAGATAGGCACACGTGAGTACGATACCATAGCTGTGACCAAGGCTTGTAAGAAAGATGAGCAGAACTGGGAGGTCAACATTCCTGGTTATTCAGAGGAGTTGGAGATGGGGATGAAAGAGTGTGGCCCAGTGTGTCGGTTTCGTCCCAGCATGGCGTTCTTGTCATGGATTGATCAGCTTCCTCCGAAACCAGGAGCCGTAAATGGACTGTGATGAACTTTTGTGTTAAATTTACTATTTATTGTTACTTCTGAATTTACATATAACTTCTGTCATTAATACAGGCACCATGGTAAGGTGACTTATAACACTTTCCATTGTATTTTTCTTGTAAAAGTACATGACAATAAATTCTAAAAAAAATGATGTAGGTGCTGTACAATATTGATTGAGGAATCAATTCTAGCAGTGAGGAAGGATGCTATTTTAGAAAAATCATCAAATGAGGTCATATGGGTAGAAGTAAAAATCTCTGAAGAGACAAACATGCTGTTGGGTGTTTACTACAGGCCCCCAAACAATCAGGGAGAAATAAGAGGGTCAATGTGTCATCAAATTCCAGAGAAATGTAAGAATAATAAGGCAGTGATAGTTCCAGATTTTAAGTAAACAGATATTAACTGGGTTAGTTGCAGTGTGCAAGATAGGGAGGGAACAACATTCTTAACTTGCATCCAAGAGAACCCTTTACAAATACGCAAGTAAGCCAACAAGCTAGGAGGCAGTTCTGGATCTAATATTTGGAAATGAGCTCAGGCAGGAAGAAGGCATATCAGTAGGGCCTTGTGTATCTTTAAGGCTGAGATAAATATATTCTTGGTCTGTAGGGGAATCAAGAGTTACATGGAAAGGGAAGAAAAGTGAAAATGAGGAACGTCAGATCAACCATGATCCTATTGAATGGCGGAACATGCCCGAGGGGCCAAATGGCTTTCTCCTGTTCCAATTTCTTATGGTCTTATGGACATTGACTTTAGCAAGGCTTTTGATAAGATCCCTTGTGGTAGACTGGTTAAGAAAGTTAGAGTCCACAGGTTAAGGGAAAGTGACTCGCTGGATCCAAAACTGGCTGAAAGGCATAATGCAGAGTGTAGTGGTTGAAGGGCATTTCATTGACTGGAAGTCAGTTTCCAGTGGGGTTCCTCAAGGCTCGGTTCTGGGATCCTTGCTGCTGATGGTGTACATTAATGATTTGGACTTAAATGTAGGAGGAATGATCAAGAATTTTGTGTACGACATGGGAATTGGTGGGTGGTAAATAGGAGGAGGATAGCTGTAAATTGCAGGAGGATATTAATGGACTGGTCAGCTGGGCACAGCAGTAGTGAATGGAATTCAACCCGGAAAAGTGACAGGTAATCTACTTTGGGACAGCTAACAAGGCAAATGGTTACACTATGAACAGTTGGATCCTGAAAAGTATACGGAATACCAGTATAACCTTGGTGTGCATATTCATAGATCCCTAAATGTAGCAGGGTAAGTATACAAGTTAGTTGACAAGGCACACGGGGTATCTGCCTTTATTCGCTGAGGCACAGAATACAACAGCAGGATGGTTATGTTGGAACTACATAAAATGCTGGTTAGGCTACATTTGGAGTACTGCGTGCAGTTCTGGTCACCACATTGCAGGAAGGATATGACTGCACTTGAGAAGGTAAAGTGGAAATTTACCAGTATGCTGTCTGGGCTGGAGGGTCTGAACTATGAGGAAAGATTGAATAGACTGGGTTGTTTTCCTTGCAACAATGAAGGATAAAAGGGGCCTGGCTAGAGGTATATAAGATGATGAGGGGCAGAGGTAGGGTGAATAGGAAGTATGTTTTTTATTTGTAGAAGGGTCAATAACAACGGGGCATAGAGGTACAAGGCTTGGAGGGGAGTTGAGGAGAATGCTTTTCCACTCAGAGTTCGGTGGGATCCTTTTACTCATTGCCTGAAAGCGTGATTGTATCAGAAACTCTCATAATACGACTGTGTTTAGATATTCACTTGCATCGTCATTGCTTCCAGGGCCATGGGCCAAGAACTGGAAAACAGGACTAGTTTAGGCAGATTTTCGTTGACTGACATTGACACAATGGGCCAAATAGCCTCCTTCTGTGTTATAAGAGTCTATTAGAATATAGAAATTGTCTGACACAGTAGAAGCCTGAGGCTAGCATCTACAAGCCCCTTGTCACAAGGGGGATGAAAGCTACTTCCAGATCTTTGACTAGAACCTGATGGACATCATTTACCTTTGATCTGGAGATCTTCCATCAGGCACTGCAGGTTACGTGTAGCCTCGTCACTGCCTGAGTGAGCTGCTCTCCAATACAACTCAATGGCTTTTGAAAAACTTACTGGGAGGCCTGAGGAAAGGGAAAGAAGAGTTTTGTTAGATTGGTTTGATGAAAGGAATTGTTTGTTTGCTTGCTAATCTGGAAAACCTGCGCTAAAGCAGGGGAGGGGTTGCTGAGCTAGGGTGCCATCAACAAGCCACAGCCACAGTCACACCCCATTAGGGAGACAGTGATGCAAAAACAAAGGAAAAAGGATTACAGTAATTCACTCCCAGTTTTGAATCCCAAAGGAGGCTCCTATTACATAGTCAAATCCAGCACTATGCACCTTAAAGCAAACAATATTAAGGGAAAATTTAATAGGGATGTTTTGAACAGCCAGTTCAAAAATACCAGAATGGACAACTTGGGGTAAATAACATTAAAACAATGATAAAATATGGTAAAGCACTGGATATCTTCTGTGCTTATTCAAGTGAAGGACGTGGGTGCTGGAGAATTGGAAACTTGTGGGTCTCAGTCCTGTTTGCTCCTGTGATTTCTGATTTGCTGGGATCCCTGTTTCCCCTCACTACCTTGATGAAGGTTTAATGCTCTGTGATAGTACAGTACCTCCTAGTCCTTGCTGGTACAACACTCCCAGAGCACACTGCGCGTCAGCATGTTCAAGGGCTGCAGCCTTCTGATAGAGTTCAGCAGCTTGTCGCAAGTCCATCATCACACCCCAGCCTTTCTCGTAGCAAATACCCAGGTTGTAGTGACTTGCAGGATCCTGCAAAGGACAGGAAATAACTCATTCTGCTGAAAGTCAATGTAGTCAATAAAAACAAAATATGTTGATATGGACACCAACCATATTGACAGGTTGGGGCCCCAGGGGCTTCAATGGGTAGGAGTGTGCAGTGCAGCACTGGGGATCAAATACTGTGTTCTACATCCCTCCAATTCTTGCCAGAATTCTACTCATTTCACTCCATTAGCAACGGCTGTGTTTTCAGTAAGTCAAAGCCCTAAAACTTCTGGAATTCAATTAACCTGTGAGAATTAGTGTTTCATGATGACATAGCCCCTGGAAAGATGACTCCAACATAGGAAATATAGTAGTTAGAATAAGATAATCAAATCCTTCAACCATCTTAAAGGTCTCAAACACAGGAAGTTCTTCACACTGCTCTGGAATTTTGGAACGCATTGTGGGTGCAGTATGAGGAAAAGCTTTGTTTTTTTTGAGGGATTAACAGTGCTCCAAAATGTGGACATTTTCTAATTGATATGAATGACCTCCAGAAGGAGGCCATTTAGCCCATCTCCTTAAACCTTTAAAGTAAAGGTAAAGTCATCATAGTCTTACCAGACCACTGGGTTGCTCTCTCAGACAGAGAAGACTAATGGTGGTTTGACTGGAGGGTCATCAGGCCTCAGGTGAGGGAGAGGTTGAGAAGGATGGTCCTTCATGGTAACCTCAGCTGGTGAGGGAATTGAATTAACCAATGCTGTTGGTGTCACTCTGCATCACAAACTAGCTATTCAACCAACTGAGCTAACTGACCTACCAAACAAAACATCTTACCCCACTTTCCGATGCCATCATCAGGTATCTGGCAGCTTGATATAGATCTTTGTGGGGTTCTTTTGTAAAGAATACACCAAGATAGGCTTGGGCCTGAAATGACAAGAGGATAAATTGCATTTTTTTTCACTTCAGAGCAGTACTTTCACTGAGATTATTTCTTCCCCATCTCCTAGTCCTTCCTTCCAGATTCTGTTTTATTTTCTCTGGCATGTCAGAGAAAACTTCCATTTCTACAGCGCAGGTCACAACCTCAGGACATCCCTAAGCGCATTAAAGTCAATGAGTAGTTTTGAAATGCAATCAGTTATAAGAATTACTGTTTTTTTTTCCATTTAAGGGGAACTTTCAGTTGGTGGTGTTTCCAAATATCTGCTGTCCATGTGCTTCATGTAGTGGGTTTGGAAGGAAGCCACGTTTGGCAGGAATCTTATGCACAACAAAACAGCCACAAACAATGTCATAATGACCAGGTAATCTATTATAAGCGATGCTGCTGGAGTCCAGAACACTCTGGATGTCTGCCTTAGTCTTCTTCAAAGATTTCTGTGGGAGCTTTTACACACACCTGAGGGAGGGAGGGAGGGAGGGAGGGAGGTGGGGGGGGTGGTGGTGGTGGGTGGGTGGGAGCAGATACAGCCTTAGTTTAACTTCTTTCAGATGAGCTGGCATCTCAGATAGTGTAGCATCCGAATCCCTCCATAGATGCACTAGGTGTGCCATTCTAGTTTTTTTTTAATCTCATAGGGCTGGGGTAGATGCAGGGAGCTGGACAGAGGCATGTGAAAATGTCTATGTTAAGCAGCAGACAAGGAGGTTGGATGAACTTTTCCCAGCATCTTTAATTAGGATTGTCAGATAAGTATAGGTTGACCTTCATGGTAATAGTAAACTACCATGTTAGAAGTCATCAAAGGCAGAGATAATTCGACTACTGTTCGACATAACCTCAGTCTCTTTGAAAAAGGAGAATGAGGACAATAAAATAAAAGTAAAAAGAAGTTTAATAGACGCAGTCTTTTTGTAGAGGCTTATGTTCCACAAGAGCTTCCTCTGAACAGGAGCAAGACTCTTCAAATTAATGCAGCCCTCTTGAAGAAGCTTAGCAACATACCTGAACTTTTCTGTATATACGCAGCATTTTTTTAAATTAAAAGATGATCTCTTGCCTCTTTGAGTCCAGATTTTGCTGCCTTTTCCAACTGTCCTACAGCTTCTTGGGTATCCCTGGTCTGTTTTTCTGGCTTGACATGCAATAGGTACTGGGCCCAACGGAACTGGGCCATGTTGTGTCCTTGGGCAGCAGCATAACTGTAATACAAAGCAGCCTGGAAGGACAGGGGAGGAAAGTGAATAGGATTGGACTTGATTGCAATACATCTGAGAGATTGTCCTACTTTTGAAATACAAAAGACACAAAACACATGGTGGAGATTTCAGTAGTTTATGTGTTCAGTGTTTCAGTGTTCAATGGTTTGTGGGAATGTGGTTCATTGCGCACTTGTTAATGAGTTTTTGAAATTAAAAGACAGTAAAAGAGTGCCAACACTTTTTACCAATCCCTAGCTGCCTTGAGAAGGTGGTGGTGGGAACTGAGTGTCTTGTTGGTCTATATCAGAGGCCTGTTAAAAGTCAGACATGTTGATATGGACCTGTAGTCATAGGAATGTTAGCTCATTGCCCATTTTGTTGGTCTAGAACATAGAACTGTACAGCACTGTACAGGCCCTTCGGCCCATGATGTTGTGCCGACCTATTATCCTACTAAGATCAATCTACCCTGCATACCCCACATCTTAGTCTAGTAATCCAAATGTTTGCGCTAATAATACAGGGATAGGAATATGAGTCCCAGTAGGACCTGACAATTTAAATTCAGATAATTAAATAAATTGGCAATAAAAACCTAGTATCCGTAATACTGCAAATGAAAATACCTGACAGCCTAGGGAAGGAAATGGGCTGTCCTTACCCTGTCTGACCTATGAGTGACTCCAGACCTACAGCAATGTGGTTGGGCAGTAAATGTCAGTGACAACCACATTCCATAAATTAATAAGTAAATAAAACACAAACTACATTTTGTACGGGCAACAAGTTTCTTTCTCAGTTGATGTGGTGAGATTTGATCTCAGTTCAAAATAACCATATTAAGTGGGTGAAGGAGGAAAGTTGACTAGGGCATCCAGAGAACTCCTTGCGGGCTCAACAAATAGTGTAAGGGAACTTTAACATTCATCTCAATTACAGATGTCCTGATTTAGTGTTTATCCAAAAGATAAACATCTACTACTAAGCAGCACTTCTGTAGTACTAGAGGGGAAATTTCCATCTCCATTTTGTACTCAAGACTCAAGTGAGGTTCAAATCTACAAACGCCTTGTCAATGACATACTGTATGGCAAGAAAAGCGATCAAAACAAAGTTAATATATAAAAGGCAAGTTTTTTTTTTAAACAGATTCCTACCTTCTTGATATCTTTGACAGTGCCTTTCCCCAGTTCATAGCAGACTCCGACATTGTACTGGGCTTTGCTGTAGCCTTGGTTGGCTGCTACCATGAAATAGGAGAAAGCCATATCGTAGTCTTTGGCTTTCATATTTTTCAGTCCTGTTCAGAAGAGATTTAACAAATAGGAAGATCAGGGGAGTATAGCTCGCCGGAGAGGAGATTCTTTAGAAGTTAAAGTAAACATTGTATATGGATTTCAGTAAAGCGTTTGATAAGGTTCCTCACGATAGGCTATTGCAGAAAATACGGAGGCATGGGATAGAGGGTGATTTAGCGGTTTGGATCAGAAATTGGCTAACTGTAAGAAGACAGAGGGTGGTGGTTGATGGGAAATGTTCATCCTGGAGTTCAGTTACTAGTGGTGTACCTCAAGGATCTGTTTTGGGGCCACTGCTGTTTGTCACTTTTATAAGTGGCCTGGATGAGGGCGTAGAAGGATGGGTTAGTAAATTTGCGGATGACACTAAAGTTGGTGGAGTTGTGGATAGTGTGGAAGGATGTTGCAGGTTACAGAGGGACATAGATAAGCTGCAGAGCTGGGCTGAGAGGTGGCAAATGGAGTTTAATGCAGAAAAGTGTGAGGTGATTCACTTTGGAAGGAGTAACAGGAATACAGAGGACTGGGCTAATGGTAAGATTCTTGGTAGTGTGGATAAGCAGAGAGATCTCGGTGTCCATGTGCATAGATCACTGAAAGTTGCCACCCAGGTTGATAGCGTTGTTAAGAAGGCGCACGGTGTGTTAGGTTTTATTGGTAGAGGGATTGAGTTTTGGAGCCATGAGATCATGTTGCAGCTGTACAAAACTCTGGTGCGGCCGCACTTGGAGTATTGCATACAGTTCTGGTCGCTGCATTATAGGAAGGATGTGGAAGCATTGGAAAGGGTGCACAGGAGCTTTACCAGGATGTTGCCTGGTATGGAGGGAAGGGCTTATGAGGAAAGGCTGAGGGACTTGAGGCTGTTTTTGTTAGAGAGAAGAAGGTTAAGAAGTGACTTAATAGAGACATACAAGATGATCAGAAGATTAGATAGGGTGAACAGTGAGAGCCTTTTTGCTCGGATGGTGATGGCTAGCACGAGGAGACATAGCTTTAAATTGAGGGGTGATAGATATAGGACAGATGTCAGAGGTAGGTTCTTTACTCAGAGAGTAGTAAGGGCGTGGAATGCCCCGCCGTCTCCATTCTATAAATTGCAAACAGCAATCAGAGACTTTGTGTACGTATTTGTGGTTATTCAGTAAGAAAAGGGTCTGTTTTGCTTATAATGCCCTTCATGGCTAAATGGCCAACAAATGGTCATTGCTTTGACAGGCATTTTAATATCCTCTGCTGATATGGGCACCACTGGCAAGGGTGGCTATTGCTCATCCGCTGGCTCATCCTTTTTGAGAACTGTTGGCCTGTCTTCTGAATTTCTGCAACCACTGTCTGAAGGCGGCACAGCCACAGTGTTGTTAGATGTCAACATTAAGTATGTTCATTTCCATAAGGTATCTTGTACAGTATATCTTAAACAAGCAATTCAGGACAGAGAGGATTCTCGTCAGTAAAATGACTTACCAATAATGTTTAAAATTGAAGAAACGCTGGAATTTGCAGCTCCCTGCAAGTTAGATGTGGCTTGGTTTAAAATTTCTTCTGGATTTGGGTCCTCTCTCTGAATAAACGGATCAGACAGTGGTGATTAACAGTTAACCGAGCCAAGCTCAATACATTTGTGGAATCACTCAAGTTGAAATTGGTATTAAGTCACTAATGGAACAAGTTACCTGTAGGTCTCCTTGCTGGCCATTTTCACTTGTTGAACCAGAGCATAATGAGCCTTGTATATCTTTTATAAACAGTGGCTCATCTGCAACACAGAAGAAAATCTATGGATATACACACTCTGAAACTGATAGAATACTGTGCAAGGTACTTGTGGTATAAAAGCAGAAATGCAGATGAGACTGCATGGAACTGCTAAGCTACAATTGAACTCCCAAAAAATATTCTAGAAATCCTTAAAAGAACAAGAGGACAACTTAGGAAAGAGCAGAGTCAATAGGAGATGGAAAAGGTAATGTGTTGATACAGAAGACGTACCATGGTTCAGAATGAATATTTTGCTTTTGTTTTTGTACAGGAGTGAAAATTAGACAGCTAAGGAGGACAAGTGTGGATTACTGGATGGGGTAAATATAGTGAGGGAGAAATTATTGGAGTGTCTAGCGAGGTCTAGATGAATTGTATCCCAGGCTCCAAAGAAAAGCAAAGGGAGAAAAGTTGAAGCTTACACCATCTTTTTTCCAGACACAGGCATTGTGCTGGAGGAACGCAGGACAGCTAATGTTATACTATTGTTTTAAAAGACTGGAGGGGATAGACTAAGTGATTTCAGTCCAGTCAGCCTAACCTTGGCGATAAGCTAGTTATTGGGAAATAAAATTCTGAGGAACAGCATAAATCATCATTTAGTGAGGCACAGAATAATCAAGGAGAGTCAGCTAGATTTGGTAAGGGATGGCTACATCTGACTAACCTGATTGGGATTTTTGAGGGAGTAACAATGAGGATCAATGACAGTAACGCATCTGTAGTCTAAATGGGTTTTAGCAAGACTATTGGCAAGGGCCTACATTGCACAAAGCTCACAGCATCTCTGGGAAAGAAGTTATCAAATTCCATCCCACTTACCTCACAGATAACAATTTGATGGACTGTATATGACTAGCTGCCTCAAACTACCACCCATACTTCATGTATAGTCACGTGTCATACTGTGCTTTGGGAAGTAGAGTAAGAAATGAATTATTATATATACTTGGTTTTAGACTTGTATAACATTAAAAGTAAACTATTTATTCTATATGTTCCTAGGATTTGCACTTAAATTCAAAAAGTGATTTTGTGCTAATAACGTTGGAGATGACTGGTGTATGGGGTAACATATTAGCATGGATAGAAGGTTGACTGGCTGATAAAGTTTCATAAATGGGTCTTTTTTCTGATTGGCAGAATGCTATGACACATAGGCGTTTGTGCTGAGGCCTTTTCACAATTTGAATCAGTGAATTAGATATGGGAATTGAAGGCATGACAGCTAAATTTGCAGACAACATCAACTCAGGTGGAAAAGCATGTTGTAAAGAAGACATAAGGAAGTTGCAGATGGATATAAATAGATTGAGCAAAAATCAGGCAAATGGAGTATAATTGAAATAACTCAGAGAGGCTGGCATCCAAACATCGAATCACCCTTTATTTACATGTGGAGAGTCCTTGACACTGATCCAGCTTCCTCAGAGTCAGCACTCAGAGTGAACAGAATCTCTGACACTCCTGTTTATATCTGTCAGTCAGGGCTCCCTGATTGGACCAGATTAACAGCCCCAATCAGGGAACTCATATTCCATGAGGTCCAACTGGCTAACCTCATTACAATCACTACAATAATGTTGGAAATTGTGAAGCAGTTCAATTTGGCAGAAAAAAATTTAAAAATGCAGAGTACTACTTAAATAGCGAACATCTACAGAATTTCAAGGAGCAGTGAGATATAGGTATTCTAATGCAGCAGTGACAAAAAAGTTAGAATAGAGATACAGCGAGTATTTAGAGTCATATAGCAAAGAAACAGACCCTTTGGCGCACCATATCTATGCCAACCAACAAACATCAAACTACACTAATCCCATATATCAGTACTTGGTCCATCGTCTACAATGCCTTAGCATTTTAAATACTCATCCAGATGCTTCTTGAATGTTGCAAGAATACTCGCCTCCACACCCACTCAGGCAGCAAGTTTCATGTATCTACCATACTCGAGGTGAAGAAAAATTTCCTCAGATTTCCTCTAAACCATTTACTCCTCACCTTAAAGTTATGCCCTTGGTCTTACACATGGCTGCCATGGGGAAAAGATTCTCATGATCTATTTTGTCTGTGCCCCTCATAATTTTGTATACCTCAATCAGAACCCCCCTCAACCTCCTCTGCTCTAAGTAAAACAAATCCAGCATATCCAATCTCTCCTCATAACTGGGACTTTTCATCTCAGACTACATCCTGGTCAATCTCCTCTGCACCCTGCCCAGTATAATCACGTCCTTCTGATAGTGTGGTGACCAGAACTGCACACGGTATTGCACCTGTCCCTAACCAATGTTTTATAAAGTTGTAACAAGACCTCTTTGTTCCTATACTCTATGTCTCAGCTAATGAAGGTTAGCATCGAATAAGCCTTCTTCAGCATCCTATTCACCTGTGCTGACACTTTCAGGGGTCTATGGGCTTATACACTGAAGTCCATTTGTTCCTGAGTTTTCCCTAGAAACCTAGCGATCCTTCCTTATTAAACCTCCCAAAATGCATCACCTCACACTTATTGGGATTAAATTCCATCTGCCCAATTTACCAGCGGATCAATATCAGATGGCAGCTTGCAAACATCCTTCTCACTATCTCCAACAACGTGAATTTTCACATCATCTGCAAATCTTCTAATTATACCTTCTACATTCACATCCAAGTCGTTAATGTACATAACAAACAGCAAGGGTCCCAGCACTGGAAACTGTGGCATACTGCTGGTCACAGGCTTCCAATTACAAAAGCAAATCTCCATCATCCCCCTTTGCCTCCTATTTCTAAGACAATTTTGGATCTAGTTTGCCAACTTGCCTTGGATTCCATGGGCTCCTACGTGGGTAATTAAGTCATCTAATGAAATTCTGTCTTTTATTACAAAAGACATTAAATATAAGAGTATGTTTTGTTTAGTTATACAGGGCATTGGTGTGACGAAATCTGCTTACCGTATGTAGTTTTTGTATTCTTATTTATGTGAAGCATGTGGTTCAGTGGTTTATGGGATGATACTTGAGATGAGCAGCTTGTTTTATGAGGAAAAATTGGACAGACAAGGTTTGTTTTCACTGAAGTATAGTTAAGTGAGAAATGACTTCATTGAAGTATAAAAGATCCAGAATGGTCTCGACAAGGTGGACTTGGAAATGCTGTGCCCAGAACTGGGGCACATTGTTTTAGAATTAGGGATCTCCCTTTTAGGACAGAGATGAGGAGAAATATTTTCTCTTAGAGGGTTGTGTGACTCTGGAACTCCAACTCTGAATTTTTTTTTTAAGTTGGATGAAGATGGGCAAGGGAATCAAAGGTTATCGGGGGTGGATGGGAATGTGGAATTCGAAACATTAGGAGATCAGTCGTGATTCTATTGAATAATTGAGGCACCAAATCACTTTTGCTCCTCTTTCATATGCACAAATATATATATGCATGTACATAGCGAGGCAAGGCACTACCTCCTCAACGGCAATTAGGGATAGCTAACAAATACTCACTTTGCCATTGACATCCACATTCCATGAGTGGATTCTATGATTTTGCAGCATCACTAAGAAAATTCTTCATGACCCGTACCTTGCTCAACGCTTTCATTGTGCTCCTGTTGCTTGGTCCTTGAATACACGGGTTTGACATTTGCAGGAGGGGTTGATCTGGTTGATACAGAATTCTCAACTCTCGAGTTATTGATGGAGTGTGGAGTTACACATTGAGGCAAAATGTACTGTTTGAACTCTAACAACCAAGCAAAAAAATACTAACAGTCAGAGAGAGATAATACAAGAAGGGACAAGGTTTCTGCAAAACAAACATTGAGGGTGGTAGCACTTGGCTGCAGAACCTGAATTTAAATATACAAAAAAACATTTAATTATTTTAAAATTTGCATGTCAAAGCATCTCATACCATCAATTACTTAAGGTGCAGTGACAGCTAGAGTGAAACATGCAATAGTTTAAATGTGATCTCAACTCTGTGGAAAGAATGTTTACAGTGATGGATTTATGTATTGAAGTGTGTCAATTATTTTATTTTAGAAAAGCATGTGGTGTTAATTTGTGCCTTTTGTGTTGTGTCAGTTTAAGTATTGCAGTATACAGGAAATTAATACCTTCCTTCCCAAGTTTAATACAGCAGTGACAATCTTTGGGGAAATTGATGAATACTTCTACTTCTGACAGCCCAAATCCCAGAAATGAAACCACAAAACCCTGAAACTCATGTAACCCAGAAGTATCATAACAGTGTTACATCTGTGGTGCAAAGCCAAAAACTTGCAAGGCTGTGGTCTCAGGAAGCCACTAACAGTTTCAGTTGTTCCAGCCGATCAAACTAACTGCATTAACATGATTCATTGTCCTGGTCTGGTAGGAATGCAAATTCTGGAAATGAGAAAATAAGATCCAAGAAACTGCCATGTTACATGCACATAATTAAAACTCACAATCACCAGCTGAGGCTCGACTTGGGGGAGGGGTATAGGAGACTCCAGTTGGTGTGGTGTCAGATAATGAAGAATTGAGTGTAATCCCTGACAGCTATCTAATGGCTCTTGATACAAAATGCATGTATGTTGAGATTTTATTTTTTAAAATGGGGTATGGAACAGAGAAAGGATGTGTAATTACTAAAAGAAGACAGATTAGTCTGGAGTTAGATGAGTACACCTAGTGTTGGGCACCTCTCTTTTGGTGGGATACAAAGTCATGGGTGTTGAAGAGATTCAGAGATAATCCCAGGGATCAGAAGATTTTGTAATGAGGACAAACTAAAGACACCAAGTACATTTCCATGTGAGCACAATCTAAAAACAGATCTGATGTGACTGTTTGAAATTATCAGGGGTGCCCATAGTTGAATCAGGAAAATACTATTTGCACTGTCTGTTAGGTAATTATCATCATCAACTTACAAACGTCACAAAAAGGGAAGAGGCGAGATAAAGAGGATAATAAATGTTGGCCATTTGGTGGATACAGGGACACTGAATATTTTATAAGGCAGAGGTCAATAGATTTTTAACTAAAAGAGTGTAAGGGTAGGCAGCAAAGTAGGATTGAGGCCACAATCAGCTCAAACATGATCTTAGTGAATGGCAGAGTAGGCTCGAGGCTCTGAATAGACTATCCCCACACCAATTAATGCATTTTTCAGAATGAAAAGCAAGTGTTGCTGAACCCCTCTCTCAAATCAGGTCAGCTGACCATTGATGCTTATTTTCTTCACCCATATGAAAATGGGAGATTTAGGTCCGGTATAGAAAGCTCAGAAGCCCATTACTTATCCCAGCCTGAAATAGTACCCTAAGGAAGGGTGAAAGCGTTAAAGTGTGCAGGATATCATTTACACCTCTATGCATTTAGGTGATGGAATTCTTTGTAAAGCATCCTACTGTTTCCAAAGAGATAGTAAGAACTGCCGATGCTGGAGTCTGAGATAACACAGTGTGGAACTAGAGGAACACAGCAGGCCAGGCAGCATCAGAGGAGCAGGAAAGCTGACGTTTCGGGTCGGGACCCTTCTTCAGAAATGGGAGAGGGGAAGGGGGCTCCGAAATAAATAGAGAGAGGGGAGCGCAGAGATAGCAGTTAGCTAGTGGAGCCGATAGGTGGGAGAGAAGACGGACAGGTCAAGGAGCCAGGGATGAAGCTAGTAAAGGTGCGTGTAGGTAGGCAGTGGGGAGGGGGATTAGTCAGTGAGGTGGGAGGAGCAGATAGGTGGGAGAGAAGATGGACAGGTCAAGGAGAGGAGGGTCTGGTATTGGGATGAGGTCGGGGGTGGGGAGATTTTAAAGTCCACGTTGAGACCATTGGGTTGTAGGCTTCCAAGGCAGAATATGAGGTGCTGTTCCTCCAGTTTCCAGTTGGCATCGTTGTGACACTGGAGGCGGCCCAGGATGGACATGTCGTCCAGGGAGTGGGAGGGGGAGTTGAAGTGGTTCGCGACTGGGAAGTGTTGTCGTTTGTTGCGAACCGAACATAGGTGCTCCACAAAGCGGTCTCTGAGCCTCCGCTTGGTCTCCCCGACGTAGAGGCCACATTGGGAACAGCGGATACAATAGGCCACATTAGCGGATGTGCAGGTGAACATCTATTTGATGTGGAAAGTTTTTTTGGGGCCTGGGATGGAGGTGAGGGGAGAGGTGTAGGGACAGGTGTAGCACCTCCTGCGGTTGCAGTGAAAGGTGCCAGGAGTGGTGGGGCTAGTGGGGAGTGTGGAGCAGATGAGGGAGTCATGGAGAGAGCGTTCCCTCCGGAAGGCAGATAAGGGTGGGGAGGGAAATATATCCTTTGTAGTGGGGTCAGATTGCAGGTAGCGGAAGTGGCGGACAATGATGCGTTGAATTCGGAGGTTGATGGGGTGATACATGAACACAAGGGGAATTCTGTCTTTGTTTTTATTGTGGGGAGGGGGTGTGAGGGCTGAGGCGCAGGAAACACAAGAGATGTGGTCGAGGGCATTTTCAACCACTGAGGGGGGGAAATTGCGGTCTTTGAAATACGAGGACATCTGGGATGTCCGGGAGTGGAATGCCTCATCTTGAGAGCAGATGCGGCAGAGGCGGAGGAATTGGGAATAGGGGATCGCATTCTTGCAGGAAGGTGGGCTTGAAATAGATATCAGTTTCAAGGTGGTCACCAGAGATGGAGACAGAGAGGTCGAGGAAGGAGAGAGAGGTATCAGAGATGGTCCAGGTGAACTTGAGGTTGGGGTGGAAGGTGTTAGTAAAGTTGATGAACTGTTCGAGCTCCTTGTGGGAGCATGAGGTGGCGCCGATACAGCCATTGATGTAGCTGAGGAAGAAGTGGGGGATGGGGCCAGTGTAGTGGCAGAAGAGGCACTGTTCCACGTATCCTAAAAAGAGGCAGGCATAGTTTGGGCCCATGTGGGTACCCATGGCCACCCCATTCTTCTGTAGGAAGTGGGAGGAATTGAAGAAGAAGTTGTTAAGGGTAAGGATGAGTTTGGTTAGGCGGATAAGGGTGTTGGTGGAGGGAGACTGGTTGAGCCTGCGGGAAAACTGTTTCCAAAAACAGGTGCTGTGCATTGCGACTGCTGTAGTCACCTTATTAACAGCATACTCTGGACACATTTTATTTGCTCAGACTTATGAATATCTAATAAACTGTGCACTTACTTATTCTGGCTGGTCCCAGTGTAGATGTAATGATGCTCTGGACAGAGAAAGACAAGGCTGCATCACTCTCCTGGGGACCATTGCGGTGACAGAACTGACGATGAAGATGTCTTGCAAACTGTAAAATCACCACAGCAGCAGCACCCTGGAGGAAGGAAAGCAGAGTAGGAACCACAGTCAGTGAAGCTTGTACAAAGATCAACTATGGAAGTGCACAACACAGTTTATTGGGCACTGCAGCAGGTATGACACTGCCGTGGTTAAATTACTGATTCACAGCACAGAACTGAAGAGTTCATATCCAGCCAAGGCAAGCTGCTGAGCTGAATTCCACAAATCTGGGAGCTGCAGAAAGACTGACCAACTGGTTCACTAAATGTCCTTCAGGGAGGGAACCTCTCATCACTTCCCAATCTCGTCATTGGTCCAATATCACTCTCTGTGGATGACTCTGAGCTGGCCTTCCTAATTGGTCAGTTGTAAAGGTTGATGAAACAGTTCTCTGCTTTATTCAGGTAATTGAATTAGGCCATTTGGTCCATCAAGTCTGTTCTGCCATTCAATCATAGGAGATATGTTTCTTAACCCCATTTTCCTGCCTTGTCCCCCTACCCTTCGATTCCCTTACTAATTAAGAACCTATCCACCTCTGTCTTAAATATACTCAATGACTTGGCCTCCACCTCCCACTGTGACAATGAGTTACCCAGACTTACCACCCTCTGGTTGAAGAAATTCTTCCTCATCTCAGTTCTAAAGGGTCATCCCTTCATTCTGAGGCCATGCCCTTGGGTCCTTGTCTCACCAACCAGAGGAAACATTTTCTCCACTTTCACGTAATCTAGGTCCCTCAGTATTGTGCAAGTTTCAACAAGATCAACCCTCATTCTTCTAAACTCCATCGAGTACAAACCCATAGTCCTCAACTACTCCTCATATGACAAGCCCTATGTTACAATGTACTTAACATAGAAAATAGAACAGTATAGCACAGGAACAGGCCCTTCTGTTTGCCCTTGGTTCATATCTCTCCATTCCTTGCATATTTATGTGCTCATCTAAAAGTTCCTTAAACGCCCAAATTGTATCTGCCTCCACCACCACCGCTGACAGCCCGTTCCAGACTCCTACAACTCTCTGTGTAAAAGACTTCCCCCACATCTCCTTTGAACTTACCCTCTCATCTTAAATGCGTGCTCTCTAGTATTAGACATTTTAACTCTGGGAAAAAGATTCCGACTGTCAACCCTACCAATGCATCTCATAATTTTATAGACTTCTATCAAATCTCTCCTCAGCCTTTGCCGCTTCAGAGAAAACAACACGAGTTTTTCTAGCCTCTCCTAATAGCTCATACCCTCTAATCGCAGCAGGATCCTGGCAAACTTCTCCTGAGTACTCTGCAATCCCATCCTTGATAACCAACAACCGAGGTCAGACTAACTGGCCTACAGTTTCTTGTCTTTTACCTCCCCACCTTCTAAACAGGGTTGTTACATTAACCATTTTTCAGTCCTCTGGGACCCTGCCTGACTTCAGCGATTCCTGAAAGATTACTACCACTGTCGCCACAATCTCCTGAGATGAGGAGAAATTTCTTCTCTCAAGAGAGTTGAGTATCTTTGGAACTCCCTGTCACAGTGAGCTGTGGGAGCAGAGACGTTGTGTATATCTATGGCTGAGATAGATTCTTGATCAATAGGGGAATCAAAGGTTACGGGAAAGGGCAGGAAAGTGGACGTGAGGAATGTTGGATCAGCCATGATCTCATTGAACAGCAGAGCAGTTTCAGGGAGAAATGGCCTATTTCTGTTCCTATTTCTTTTGGTCTTGTGGACTGATGGCTCCCAGATAGGAGAGTCACCTTTATAACAAAAAAAGACAAAGACCAACTGACCATGACAGGAAATGAACTGGAAATGACCAGGCTGAATCGTTAAAATTTTGCAGATTGGCGAGTAATTAGAGACCAATAAAGATCTTAAATTTTCTTGAAGAGAGGCTAAAGAAAGAGTTAGCGATATTTACATTCTCCACTCAGAGGGATAGTTGGCAATATTGTTACTTTCTCTGTGAATATTGCCTAGTCATTGAATGGATCAAGAAATCAGTTGAACACTAAAAATTATTGCAACCAAGACTGGTGATGAATCCAAGAACTGAAAACAATATTCTGTTGTTTGTGTTCTCACCCATCCTACAGCATCCAATCCAGAAAAACGAGGTAACTGCTTGGAACAAAATCGAGCGTTCTGCTCTTTTTCTCTCTTCTCTCGCTCTTCTCCATTTTGAGAATCTGTTGAGCTGAGGAACATATAAAAAAGAGAATTAAAGCTGTAGGATCAGGATGGTGATAGATAAGATATATGTCACAAAAAAACAAGGCATTCAGCCCAAATGAATGAACATGAGTCGCCACATATTCCACCTGCCCCATCTCAACCTTCTAGCATCTTTCCACTTCACTTTTTGTTACATACTTATCTAGTTTACTTCTAAAATAATCCAAGCTGTTCCTTTCAACCATTTCCTGCGGTAGCAAGTTCTACATTTTTACTACTTGTTGAGTAAAGAAGAAACTTCACAAGAACATAAGAAATAGGAAAAGAACACTGCTTAGCTCCTCAAGCTTGCTCCACCATTTAATATGATGATTACTGATCAACATTCACCTTGCTCTCTGCTCCCCATAATACACAATGCCCCTATGGTTCAAGAAGTGGTCTCTCTCAGTCCTAAATACCGTCAATGAATCAGCCTTCACAGCTCACAGGGGTACAGAAGTTTCAACCCTCAGCCATCTGACAGAAGGAATTTCTTCTCATCTCTATCTTAAATGGGTGACCTCAAGTGATGAAATTAAGTCCACTAGTTCTGAATTTCTCCATGAAGGGTAATATTTTTTTCAGCATCCACATCGTTAAACTCTCTTCAAACCTACATGTTTCAATAAAATCTCCTTTCATTCTTCTCTAAATTCCAGGCACAAGTCAGGAGTGCTGAGGCTAATGTGCTGTAGGCACACTCAGTGCAGTTAGGGAGAAAGTTCCAAGATTTTAATCCAATGACAGTGAAGGAATGGTGACATACCTCCAAGTCAGGATAGTGAATGGCTTGGAGGGAAATTTGCTGGAGGTGGTATTCCCATGTATCTACTGCCCTTGTCCTTCTAGACAGTACATGTCATGAGTTTGGAAGTGGTTTGGAACAGCAGTGCCTTTTGTAGATGGAAAACGCTGCAAAAAGTGTGTGGCAACAACAAACGGAGTGAGTGGTGAAGGCAGGGGGTGCCAATCAAGCAGGCTGCTTTGTCTTGGATGGTGTTGAGATCCTCGAGTGTTGTTGGAGCTGTACTCATCCAGGCAACACTTAGGGAAATATTCAATTATACTCCTGATGTGCACCTTAAAATAACTGTCAATCGCATGTGGTAGATTAATGACTTACCTGCTTTTGAAGTGAGAGTGAGTTGAAACCAGAGGGGAGTTTATCACATCATCTTCAGCAGAGTGAGTAGGAGGCAGGCGCAGTGAGGATGATGGGCCAGTAACAGTCCAACGGTGAAATACTAAGTGGAAGAAGAGCGAACCAGTAAATGAAACAGCTTTTGGTAAACAAGCCACCTGGTGGTATGCAAAGTTTGCAACAATTCAAGACAGAATCCCTTCACCAATTTCCCAGGTCCCAATGTGTTAATTTATTTCAGTGGATATTGGTTGAGGGATAAATATCACTCCAGGACCAGTGGGAGGGGATAGTTCTTCTTTAAATAGTATCATAGGATCTGTTACATCCATCTGAGAGGGCAAACACTGCCTTGGTTTGATCCAGAAGACAGCACCTCCATCACGCAGCACTCCCTCAGTACTGTGTTGATGTGCCAGCTTAGATTTTCTGCTCAAAGCTCTACTTTGTGATTTGAACCCATGATATTTTGAGATGGCCACCCACTGATCCACAGCCAACACAATTCACTATTATGAGGACGAGTTGTCAAATGCAGACTTTTTTGGTCATTCGATGTGAGTTGGGTGTTCCAATAGCAAGATTGGCATTTCTCATTACAGTACAGCACCCCCACCTAGTGGTAACGGACTGAATTCACCAGGAACAGGCTTCTCCAGACTCAGTGTTGTGTGCGTGTTAATAGGGGCTGATTAATTCCCTGGCTCTTCACACCCCAAACCATCCCAAAAAAATGGAAGCCACGATTTATAAACATTCATCATGTAAAGGTGAGATAACAAGGCGTAGAGCTGGATGAACACAGCAGGCCAAGCAGCATCAGAGGAGCAGGAAAGCTGATGTTTCAGGTCTAGACCCTTCTTCTGAAAATTTCATTTTCTGAAGAAGGGTCTAGACCCAAAATGTCAGCTTTTCTGCTCGGCCTGCTGTGTTCATCCAGCTTTACAACTTGTTATCTCAGATTCTCCAGCATCTGCAGTTCCTACTATCATGTAAAGGTTTTCACTGTTCCGCAGAATTAAGATGGACTGTAAGCTAGGTGACTCATGCAAGTCACCCTTTTCCCAATACTAATATGTGGTACAAAGGGTACTGCCCCTACCCCTTAGACCAAAGCTCCATGTGCAAGTTCCACACTGCGACTCAACTGCCAAAGAATGTACATTCACAACATGGTCAAGTAGATTATCAATATGCAAATCCTTCTGATACAAGTGGCAGATGGAATTCAATCTGGATAAATGTGAGGTATTGTATTTTGGTGCAACAAAAAGGGTAGGGCTTATACAATTAATGGTAGGGCTTTGCGTAGTATTGTAGAACAGAGGGACCTAGGAGTTCCGGTACATAATTCTTTGAAGTTTATGTCACATAAAGACAGGGTGGTTAAAAAGGCATTTAGCATGCTTGCCTTCTTTGCTCATTTCTTTGAGTGTATGAGTTGGGAAGTCATGTTGAGGTTGTTCAAGACATTGGTGAGGCCTCTTTTGGAATACTGTGTCTCATTGCGGTCACCCAGTTACAGGATGGATATTAAGCTAGAGAGGATTCAGAAGAGACTTACCAGGATGTTATCAGGTATGGAACGTTTGAGTTATAAAGAAAGGCTAGATAGGCTGGGGGCCTTTTTCACTTAAGCATTGGAACTTGTGACAAGACTTTATAGGGTCATGAGGGGTATAGATAGGGTTAATTGTAGTTGTCTTTTCCCTAGGATGGGGGATTTCAAGTTTAGGGGGCACATTTTTAAGGTGACAGTAGAGAGATTTACAAAAGACACGAGGGGCAAATTTTTAACAAAGAGGGTGGTTCAAAACATATGAATGGGAAAGATTTGGATGGATATGGGCCAGGAGCAGGCAGGTGGGAGTAGTTCAGCTTGGGATTATGGACTGGTTGGACTGAAAGGTCTGTTTCTGTGCTGTATGACTCTATAACAGGTAGTAAGTGTGGGAAACTCTCCTGGTCAGCTAGAGCAGTGTGGTAGCTGAGTATAGAAGCCTCTCCACATTAAAAGACTCCATGTGCAGGTTCTTGTCATTGTATAGCTTCCATGGCAAGTGCCTCCTTAACTGAGGTCATCTCTCAATCATACTGTACAAATATGTTAGAACTCACCTCTTGAGCAGGTGGGACTTGAACCTGAATCTTATGGCTCAGAGGTACAGGCACAACTACTGTGCCACAACAGCCCTTACTGTCCAATGAATAAGTTTGTCAAATCCAGTTCACAACAAAGTCCTTGCTTTAATAAACTCTACTCTGTCTCAATTAATGGATGGTGGAGGGGAACTTGCAGGTGGTCGTGTTCCCTTGTATCTGCTGCCCCTGTCCTTCTAGATGGGCACAGTCATGGGTTTGGAAGGAGCTATCGAAGGATCTTTGGTGAATTTTTGCAGTGTGTCTTGTGGATAGTATACACTGCTGCTACAGAGCATTGATGTTAGGCGGAGTAGATGTTTGTGGGCACAATGCCAATCAAGAAAGCTGCTCCGTGCTGGATGGTGTCAAGCTTGAGTGTTGCTGAAGCTGCATCGATCCAGGCAAGTGGGGAGTATTCAATCACACTCCCAGCTTGCGCCTTGGAGATGGTGGACAGGTTTTGGGGAGTCGGGTGGAGAGTTACTTGTTGCAGTACTCCAAGCCTCTGACCTGCTCTAGTAGTCACTCCGTTAATGTGGAGAGTCCAGTTGAGTTATAGGTCAATGGTAATCTCCAGGATGTTGACAGTGGGAGCTAATTTGATGGTAAAAACATCAAGTTAGCATAGCTAGAAAGTGACTGTATAAAAGAAAGAGATTTTAAAAGTTTATTATCAGTAAGAGTCAGCGTGAAGGAGACTTCACCAGGGCGAGCTAGAGGCCAACTGAGTATGTTGGACAATTTGGTTTAAAGCAGGAATCCAGTTAAAGCGGGAAGTGCATTTAAGTACAGTTTACTCCAAGAAGAAAAGTGTGCAGAGTGGGGAATTTGGTGAAAGGGGGGAGGTATTGTTAATCTTTCATCTACACTTTCTCATTAAAAGGTATTAAGGACTGTCTTTAAACTGCTGCCACAACAGACTTGTGGTTGTCAGGCCAAGAGGCCTAGGTTCAAGTCCCATCTGCTCAAGGCGGGTGTGGGGGGGGGTGTTGGGGGGGGGGGAGGTGAGAAAGGCACGAGGCAGAGAGGGGGGGCACGGGGGGGGGGGAGAAATGCACAAGGGGTGGGGGGGGGGGGGGGCGTGCAAGTGGTGTTCCCACATAGCCTTCAGGCCCCGGGCCTATCCCGGCCCCGTCCTCACCTCTCCCCGCCGCGGCCTTAATCCTCCACATTCCGCCGGCGCTCGATCGCCCGCGCGCCTCCGATCCCGCCCACCGCCCCGCTCTCCGCCAATCAGCGTCCGGGGTCGCCCGGCGTCTTGCGTCACCGGACGGGGGCCGCCCCGCCTCCTTACGTCACTTCCTCTACACCGTCGCCCCGCCGGACCGTATTCACGGTGACGTCACCCCTCCCCGCCCACCAGCTTCCGATCACCACACGCCCGATGAAAAGTGGTCGTGTTGGAACTGGAAAAAAGTTAACTTTTTTTTTCCTCTCTTTCCTTCCCCCACAGATGCCGCTCGCTTTGCTAAGATTCTCCAGCACTTTCTGTTGTCTCCCAGTACCTACGTTGTGGTTGTTCACTGGTTTCCCCTGCTCCCACCTTATCAATCAGAATGATGTTCAAGTCCCACCTGCTCCAAACATGAGTAATTCCATCTCTGACAACAAGGTGCAGGGCTGGATGAACACAGCAGGCCAAGCAGCATCATAGGAGCAGAGAGGCTGACGTTTCGGGCCTAGACTTTTTCTGATGAAGGGTCTAGGCCC